GCGTTGGTTTTTTTAATCATTATGAATGAACGCCAGCGATAAGATTTTTGAACAAATACAATGACCCAGAGTATGGCCGTTCAAACCGGAACATTGTTTCGACGAATTTCAAAAATCAGATTTTTTTTATACAACTTAGGATGGCAAACAAGCTGACGGCTCACCTAATGGAAAGTGGTAACCGTCGCCTATAAACATGTGCAGTACCATGGACATAACAGAGTATACTGTTGCGCCCATGATACCCCCTATGCGTTGCCATTCTTGAGGACTCAGGTGTTATTCCTCCGTACACAGTAAATTCACGCCATATTCCACCCTTCAAACCGAAACACAGCCATGCAAACACAACTGCTTCACGGTAGAAACACGAATGGGACAGAGGTACCCAAGCAATTGACTTTTGTACAAAGTCTCCCTCTTGATACTGTATTCACCACCGTATAACCCACCATAAACTAAAGTTTCATCCCAACTATCTGGACGAGTGGCGGTCTTCCACCGTGCGTTTTTCACGGCACTTTCTTCAACGCACAACCACTCTTTGGAAACAACTTCCAGCAGCAGTATTTCCGAACCGATACGACATCATAACCTTCAAGAAAAGAGCATATTTTTTTTTAAAAGGCCGGCGGCACACCTGCAATGCTGTTGTTGTGGATGATCATAGGCGGCAGTAGCTGCTTTTCATCAGGTGAGTTTGCCCCCTGTGTTGTTTAAAAAAAGACATTCATATGCAATATTTATATAGCTTATATGTTTTTTATGTAATTTATAATGACAAGCTGTCGGCCCATCTGATAACAAGTGGTAACCATGGCCTATGACATGAACAGTACCATGAAAATAACAGAGTATACTGTAAGACCCATGATACCTCTTATGCATTGCTATTCCTAAGGTCTTATCCCTCTGCTCCCTGTTATTTCACTGCCATATCCTACTCTTCAAACCGAACCGAACACAGCCCTGCAAACGTAATTACTTGACGGTAGAAACATGAATGCGACCGAGTGTTAGGAAGTATAACGGATATCCCAGTTTTATGGTGAATAATAAATAAATAATTGTCTTTTAATAATAAATTGTTTCCGTATATTTGATAGAAAATTATGCAATGAATAAACAAAAGAACAATGACGGATAAAATAAAAAGAACATATTTAGGCAGCATGGTCTCCGACCTTAGCCTGTTGCATAACGGAACAAACGTACTAAAAAAAAAAGAACATATGGCTATTAAAATAAAAAAGGTTGCAATCTTCAACACAGAATTGCCCGATAGATGGATCCTTTAACTTTATAAGTGTGGCCACTATAAATATTATTAAAACATGCTATAATTTTGTTTCGCATGAGACATCTGCGTGCTCGTAGGTAGATACCTACCTATACTTTTTTAGGCAATGACTTTACAGTAATAAAATATAATGTATATACTTCGATTGAGGTGCGTTCAAAATATTTACTAATTCTACGGCGTATACTTAAGATCGTTTTTATGTTTGTTACCTCGTAATTTCGTCAGCTATGAATCGATTTGAAAAATCCTTTTTTATCTGACAGGATACCTATACTTACAAATAGATAGAGATTTTATCAAAATAGATTCAGAATTTTAGTTTTTAAATCGAAATATCTAGTTATGTCACAATTGAAGTTGTTTATTTTTTTATGGAACAAAACAAACATAGATAAGAAACCAAACCAGAGGGTGACTTTGTATAAAAGTCGATTGCTTGGGTACCTCTGTCCCATTCGTGTTTCAACCGTGAAGCAGTTGTGTTTGCAAGACTGTGTTTCGGTTTGAATGGTGGGATATGGCGTGAATTTACAGGGTACAGAGGAATAACACCTGAGTCCTCAGGAATGGCAACGCATGGGGGGGTATCATAGGCGAAACAGTATACTCTGTTATGTCCATGGTACTGCTCATGTTTATAGGCGACGGTTACCACTTTCCATCAGGTGGGCCGTCAGCTTGTTTGCCATTCTAAGTTGTATAAAAAAAAAGAACCTCTTTTTTTAAGTGAGTGTACAATCTAGGACATAATGGGAATAATAATACCTTTGAATAGATTACAAACATTAAATAATTAACAATAGCATTGTTCTTGTTGTTCGTACAAGGAAACTATATTAATTAATGACACGAAATATAATTGTCATGCAACAGCTTGTGTTTGTCTTGTTATCTTTATTTTTTATTTATTTATTTACGTTCACCAACAATCGTTTCCATAAGATAGTGTATATGTTTATACAATCATGGAGTTTAGAATTGAGTGTAACATTTTTTTTATAGGCAGACAGCATATATTGGTACTAGCAATTAGTACAGAGAAATATATATATATATATATATATATATATATATATATATATATATATATATATATATATATATATATATATATATATATATATATATATATATATATATATGCAGGTTACAACTAATGCTAAATGCTTAACAACTAAAGCTACCATATCCATAAGTAAATATTTGTACCTACATCGTATGATAATTATCACACAGGGTGTAAGCTAGACTAGGTTTAAACTAGGTTAGGTTTAAGGTTAGGTTAATTACTAACTGTAACTGTATTCTATGTACTAAATTAAGATATAACCTACTCGTGTACGAAATTTCATTTAAATCCATCCAGTAGTTTTTGCAATCTTACGTATTTACTATATTAATAATAGAATAAAAAACATGAGTTGCAGAATGTAAAAAAATTAAATCGTTCAAAATCGAAAACTGTGTTTGCTTTAATTTTCAATAATAGTGATTTTTTTGTGTGTTTCCTTCATCTATGTCAATTTATTTTGGTTAAGGCTGATTTATTATTTAATTGTGTAATTGTCTTAGGTATGTGTTTTTAAAGCTGTATGTATGTTTGTCTTAAATAACTAAAAGTAGAAAAAAAATACAATAATTTTTTTTTTAAATATTACGATTAATTTTACGATGGCGGAGATAATATCTAAAAATGAAATGTGATAGGTCAACCATGAAGTGTAATTTCGAAATTTCGGACTGTATTTTGTACGATTCGCGTGCTATCGTGCTATGAAGTACGTTCTCTCCGAAATTATTCCCGACTACGGAGAATGCTTTGCGATCGATCTAAACCGTACCATCGAATATCCGAACGTACGAAGTTATGTCATTATGGTTGGTCAGCTGGCGTTTCCCGCGTTTTACTAATTAACGAAATATTAGTGACGGTGGGTTTTTTAATGGGTGTTAATGGAATGGTAATTCCGTCTGTACTATCGGAGATATAGTTTTGGCCCATATAATTGACCCCCCATCAATTAACAAGTGTGTCTAGGGGTTTTCCCTTGGAAAACCGTGCGAAAAAAAGTTCAACCAAGTGTGATTAAACTTTCTTCATTATAATTACCGGTATGCCATTATAACTTTATAATGCCATAAAAACAACAAGTTTTATTAGGTGAAGCCGGTCCAAGGCCACTCGAATTCTCCATAGTATAAGGTTCTATAAAAAGTGTGGTTCGTGGTATTATTCTTTTTTCTATTCATATATTGTAGCAATTTTTGACTCAAACGTCGTGCTGTGAATATAATAGAAAAAAAAAAACCAGACTTTAGATATTATAGGTATATCGTATAACACCAAAATAAGTTTTGCAAAATTAATCAAACAAAAAAGTCTATTATTTACCTACTAACATGTGCAAAAGTTTTTATTATGATAGTAGGAAGTGGTTAAGTTAGCAACACAGCCCAAGGTCAACCAATCAGAACAATTTGATATAATTTGTCGACAATCAAAATGCAATTTTATATTCCATTTGTTATGATGCAATTAAATTATAGGCAAGTAATTTACATGATAATTAGGTAATTTTATCAAAAACTTTATCTTTTTGTTTAAACGTTACTACCTAGCTATGTAACAAAAATAGGTACTTGTTTTACTTTATAATAGTGCACTTTTTGTAGTAGTTCCTTTCGATAAAAAAAAATATCAATCATCTAAAATGGTATCTACATTTGTTAAAGGAAAAGTTTGTTGACTCGTTTTTCTGGTGCATAGCGGTTGTGCCCGAATAACTTTGTGTCCAGCGAGGCCAAACGAAACACAAATTTGATATTAAAATTACATAATACATGGCGTTTGGATATATTAAAAATGTTAAAATATTGTTCTTTTGGACTTTTTTGTTAGGATGTATGACGAACGAAATGGTAAACTCCATTTATTGGTCCGATTTTGGTATTAACAAAAACACGAAATTAAGTCCGAAATTTCGGAATTTCATTTCTGGTAGACCCGCAGTTTGAAGGATGGTATGTGGCAGTGAAATTAAAGGGTTAAGTGGTATAGTTAATATCTAAGGAATGGAATGTTGATGAGGGAGACCATAGGTGTTGAGTAAATCTGTGATGGTGAAATATATAATAAACAATTTACAATGATGATGATAAAAGCGAATAGCGAGCGACCGGTAATGTTTCCTCAGTAGAGCGATTTTGTTATAAAAATTACTATTGTGAATCAATTTTATCTATCGTCGATGACAACGCTATGCGTAAGGTAGAAAGTATTACTCATCTAGCGATGAGAAAGTAATTGTGACATTATTTTTGGTAATTAGCAAATGATAATGATAAGATTGCTTAGTATTTGTTATATAGCTAATCAACCCCTTCAACTTAAAGATCAAAAGTATAAAAATAGACATCTAGTAGCTATTTAGTTAAAACAAATTACTGATAGTTTATTTAGGGTGCCGCTAGATGGCAGTTATTACGCTCTAAGAATTTATATTATTGAAACAACTAGAATATCTAAAGAAAATTGTAAGATACAGAAGTTCATATTTATATTTTCACTTTGTTTGTTAAAAACATAGTTAATAATAAATTAAGCTATTTTCTTGATAATATTTTTGGCTATGTATTAACATTCATATTTTTAGTTTTTTGTAACAACCACACTCAAAATGACGTGGTGAAAAAAAATAAAAGTTTTTGTCTATTCGCCATTAAAATGGCGTCATCGAAAGAAACTTATTGTTTGTGTGGTCAACCATATAACATTGGACAGTTTATGATAGAATGTGACTGCTGCCGTGAATGGTTTCATGGCAGGTACTGTGGAAAATATATGAATTTCTATATGATAACTTAGATATGTGTTAAAAAAGGCTTCTTAAGTTGATAGAACCCTGCCTTTCGGCCATACTCTTGTCGCCGAATGTTTTCTTGGATTTTCAACATTAATGTTCTATTTACACAGTTAATTTGCTAATGAACATAGCAATAAACTATTTAGTGCACGTTTGGTGCTATTATTCTCATTATTATACTGTCGGTCACTGTTTACATATTGCATCTTCATTCACAAGTGCGCCGTATTAAATAATTCTTTGTTTTGGTAATAGGTGGGCTTTTCTCAAATCCAATATCAAATTAGAAATATAAAATCGAAACAAGTACACGGAATTTTCCATTTCTAAACTTAATTGTACAAATTTATCGAGTCTCCAATATCAGATATAATTTAAAAAGTTCAAATTTATAGTATAAATTAATAATATTTATCATGATAGTAATCGCCAGCTATAGCGACACCACGTGCCCGTGTTTTTATAACAGTTTTTATTGTTTACATCATAAAAAGTGAGGCTAGATACATATCTATCACAAATATGTTTCCTTCTGTGTTTTTATTTAATGTAAATGTGGCTATAGTGTATTAATTTATACACAACACATTACTTCTTCTGTATTATTTAGGAATTTCAATTAGTATCTGGCATTGGAATTAACAGAGTAAAGTGTTAAAGAAAGTTTAAAATAAGCCTACTTGTTAATAATAATAATTTTTTATTTAGGTATTTTTTAATTTTTTATTGCATGGCCAATAAATAATAATAATAAATAAATAATACATACATTAGTCTCACCTGTCTCCCATTCGGTTAGGCAGAATAAATGAGTAATAATGTGGATTACAAAAAATCATTGGTACAAAAGGTGGACTTAATGCTATATAGCATTCTCTCCTAGTCAACCTTTGGCAAAACAGAAATATAATTATGCGGTGAAAATTTGAAAATTATTGTAGATAAACAAAACAGTAACAGACATTCATATTGATTGATATATACTAAACATTGTTAAGCGTTTTATGAAATTTGATAGATAAAGGCTTTGAAAATTAAGTTGTTTAATAATAGTTACAGTAAGATATTTATTTGTTGGCTCATGTTTTAAATTTTATAAAATTTCCAACTAGAATCTTTCAAAACAAATATTTTAAAATATGATCAAAACTAACTGTTATATATAATCTTTATTGCACTAAAACATACAGTAACAACAAGACGTTAATAACAATGTTAGCAAAGGCGAACTTATCTCTAACAGACATTTTTTATAGTCAACCTAACACAGTGGCATAGGAAGTAGAGAGTGAGCAGTGGTAGTGCTAAACTGAAACTAAAATAAATATTATATAATTTACATAAATTACATACATATTATACACACACACACACACACACACACATATAAATGTAAACCTATATAAATAAAAATATTTGTTTTGTTCATTTTTAACCATTCTGAATATTAAATTCCTGTTCACTTGTATTATTATCAATGTAAAATCTGTTTCAGTTGCGTTGATGTTAAGATTTATCATTCCGATGACATAGACAAGTATCATTGCCCCAAATGCTCACAAACATATGGACCTTCTGTCTGTAAGTATATTGTTTTATTACTCTTCACATTTGGAATTGATAAAATGAACATAGATGCACCTATAGATGTGTACAATTGTTTTTTTTTATTGGATGAAAATGGAATGGTGACCCTTCCTGCGCTAACGGGATACGCTGGCGGGGCACCAGTGAAAGGTGATCGATGAGCATGAAAACAGGCCAGTAGCCCATCATGATGAATTCATCTGGAATTCATTATGATAGTTTCCAGGGAGAACCGCGAGGATGTCGACCTGGTTGGATATATTGCTAGCAATGGGATTCTCAGTCTCCATTACTAACAATTCCTTTGCCCCCGTGTACAACTGTTGTCATCACTGGCACAGAATATACTATGACACCCATGGTACTTGTTATTGGTTGACTTCCCTTTATGGGCAAGAATATTAAGATTATACCTATTTTACTACTTTACTAGACAACAATGATGCATCACCATTATCATATCAGCTGTTATCTGTTCACTGCTGAACGTATGGCTCCCTCTATTGGAGGGTTTTGCCAGTAGTTGCCATGTTTGACAGGCAGATTGGCAACTGCAAATAGGCTTTGGTGATATTTTAAGAGGGATGCTGCTACCCATCTCTTCACTATTAAGTTCCTTTAGTTGCATCTTATGACACCTACAGGCAAGGAAGGGGTGGTCCGTTCTATGCAGGGACCACATGGCAAAGTGAATGCCATGCTGCATTGCCATAGAGATATATTTTATGATGAATATTAAGGTATTGACAGTAACCAGTGATTGATGATAGGTGAGGATGATCAGGCCAGTTGGCCCATTGTGACAAATTCATCAGAAAATAACTAAGATGGTTATCATGAGGACTCCATCGAGGTTGACCTCATAAAGTATATTTCTGACAATGAGGCTACTGGATACCATTACTAACAATTGTCTCCCTCACCCCTTCAAATAGGACTGGTACCCATGTACCAACTACCAATTGGTTAGTGGTAAATGTTGGCAGAAAATAATTTTCAGTAATTGAGTTTAACTGCCTCGTCGCTAGTAATATACCCTAGGTTTATATCAGGTTTACTTACATGTGGTTCCTCTTGGAACCCATCATAGTTTTGAATTTTTTAATTCATCACATTGGATTTACTAACTTGTTTCATCCTTACCTATAATATTTCACTGCTGCATTGTTTGTAATAAATTGGACTTCATAACTATAAAAAAATACATTCTGATTTCAGTAAAAATCCCCACAAATAACCACAGAGCGGACCGTTATGAGCTCGGAGCCGAGAACCACCCTTCGCAAGTGGGGACTCCAGCGTGGGTCCGGGCACTGGCCGCGCGGCCCCTCCGTCCCTCGCAAGCCGCCCTGATGCGGCTGCGGCCTCACCAGTTCACAGAGGAATTTATTAGAGATGACGGCTTTAATAGACCAATCATCTTTCACACTCCCGAGGGGCTGGACTTGAAGGTCCCCAACCCTGCTACGTTTACCGTCAGATCAGTGCTAAGATTTTGCGGGGCACAATTAGAGGTAGGCGGTAGTTACTGAAATATAATCTATTGTCTTTTCTCTTTCCTTAGGAAAACAGGAAAAGCCTTAAAATAATGAAAAGGACAATAACGGGCCATTGCCCATTAAACAAACATTTATACACAATAGGTGCCACAGACAGCCCTCTATGTCGAGGCTGTTTCGACGCCGAAGAAACGGCTGTTCACGTAATCCTGGAATGTGAAACTGGCCCATCAACGTTTAGAAATCCTCGGAACGGTGAGGTCGCTTCGTGAGGCCTGTGAAGATCCCAGGAAGCTTCTGTGCTTCTGGGTGGAGCTGGGTTAGCTGTACTAGCCACGGCTTATATGCACAACGGCCCAAGTGAGAGGCTAAGCGCGAAAAATAGAGGCCTATTTACATTACATTTCTCTTAGACGATAGCTAAGAACAAGGAATTAAATAGAAGGAATAATATAATAAAAACTGTAAATCATATGGTTGCTTTCTTTCTTCTTATGTAAATAGAATTAGTAAAAAGAGGATGACAGACACACCATCAGTTGCTATTTTTCTCAATTCACAGCAGGCTAGTGTATAGAAAATGTTTTTGATATGTCAATTATTTGTCAATGACAAATTTTACATTACTAGATTATATATTGGACACAGTTTATGTAGAGAGTATGCAAGAAGGTTGTATCTGAATTTGGTAGGGTTATACGGCCGTGTAACATTTTCTATACACTAGCTTGCTATGAATTGACAATTTTATCACTCCTATGTAATTCCTTGTTCTTAGGGCAGTTGGCTTTGTCTACAGATTGCTCTATGGATGAGATGGAATAAGATTTATAAGACAAAGATATTGTAAAACAATATTTTTTTTAAGGCAACTTAGAATGGCAAACAAGCTGACGGCCCACCTGATGGAAAGTGGTAACCGTCGCCTATAGACATGAGTAGACCATGGACATAACAGAGTTTTATGTTTCGCCCATGATACCCCCCATGCGGTGCCATTCCTGAGGACTCAGGTGTTATTCCTCTGTGCCCTGTAAATTCAAGCCATATTCCACCGTTCAAACCGAAATACAGCCATCCAAACAACTGCTTCACGGTAGAAACACGAATAGGACAGAGGTACCCAAGCAATCGACTTTTGTACAAAGTCTACCTCTGGTTTAAATTAATATCAACATCACCTATATGAATGGCCTTCTACTACTGTACGTTTCACGCTTCACTTCCTACCATTATTTACAACGGCATTTTTTTTTTAAATACGACTACAGGAAAAGAAATTATACTTTTTTATAAAGCTGACGACACATTAGCAAGCTTCTCTGGTGTCGTTTGTGATCATGAGATGCGGTAATCACTTACCATCAGGTGAACCGTACACACGTCTATTGACCTTCCTGAAAAAAAAATAATGAATGAATGAATGAATGAATGGTTTATTTTCTCTTCACAAAAGGTAGTATAAAGTGACAACTTGAGATACGATTTGATATGAAGACCAATTTTGTGAGAGACTGGTGCTTGCGGTAGGTTTAGAAGTGCCTGTGTTACAAGTCACCAGTGCCCCATCTCCATGGACTACACAAATACAAGGCAACCAATTAGTGTTATAATACATAGATAACAATAATGAGATATAAAGTGCAAGAATTAAAACTTGTTTCTAATATATAACTTAGGCAAAGTTAATTACAAAATACAGACTATGTGTGCGTGTGTGTGTATATGTGTGTGTTCAACTAAATAGAGATAGATATATAATTTGTTTAATAATAATAAAAAGTAATTATTTGTTACCAGGTGGAAGTGATCGATGTACGCAAACAGTCCACGCTGCGGATGCCTTTGGGTGATTTCGTTGACTATTTCGAGACCCCGCCCGAGCATCGCGACGAGAAAGCTCTCAATGTACTCAGTCTAGAATTTTCGGATACCAAGTGAGTATGCTACTGCAGGTGTCGCCCTCTGGTAATAAGACTTTATAGCCACTTGCGCTATGTAAAAAAACATTCTTTCATTGATGACGGGCGAACTGTGATTGGCATAATTTAGCACAGGTCTGGGGTTTTTTTTAATAGATGATAATGGAATGGTAACCCCGCCTGCGTTATCGATATACGGCGGCGGGGCACCACTGAAAGATGATAGGTGAGGATGAATGCAGGTCAGTTAGCCTATCCTGACGAATTCAACTAGAATTTATGGTTTCCAAGGGGAACCAGGTGGAGGTCGACCTGACAGGGTATATTGCTAGTAATGGGGCTATTTGATCCCATTATTAACAATACTTACCGCATTGGTTTGGGTTATCATTCTACTTAATCGAGTAGAGTGGTGATTGATTCGTGTCACCAGCTAAATGTACTGGACGGAGGATCGGTCACTATGTTAACTGAATCTTATGAAATATTTACGTTTCGAGTCTTCGGTCGTCACTCATCTTCCGTCGACGGAAGGTCGGCAACGCTGCATTGTGCGTTTTTATATATGACGCTGTACTCGGGGAATACTGTGCGTTGACTATCCACGTCGGTTAAGTGAACGTGTGGTGTGATGGGTTTTTTTTATGGATGATAATGGAATGGTAACTCCACCTGCGCTAACGGTATACGCTGGCTGGGCACCAGTGAGGGGTGATAGATGAGAATGAAAAGACAGGCCAGGCTGTCGTCATCCGTGATGATGTCGTGATAACAACCCGTGCCCCCTTGTCGCAGCCTGGCGCCGCTGGTGGAGCCGCCGGCGCTGGCGCGGCGGCTGGACTGGGCGGCGCGCGCGGTGCCGGGCGCGGCGGCCGAGCGGCCGCGGCCCGCCGTGCAGAAGTACTGCCTCATGTCCGCCGCCGGCTCCTACACAGACTTCCACCTCGACTTCGGCGGCACCACCGTCTGGTACCACGTGCTGCACGGACAGAAGGTATGCTTCACATAGTACTTTCCATCACAAAGTGCCTAATTTTAACCCGTGGAGCGATCGGCTCTAGGCTAGCTCGCTACACCCACTGCGTCACCGATTTTTGAAATTACCAAATTTCGATTAAAGGTTATGGATGAATGAGTTTATTACCTACATAAATTTAATGAAAACGACGCTTCAAATTCGAGTTATACAACAGACGCCGTTGCATTAGCGCGCGGTACCACATTTTTGTTCGGTACAGCGTATGATGCATAAACGTTAACAGTAAATCTAAGTACACCTAAGTTTATGCAAGTTGCAGTTGATATTCCACTTGAGGAAAAATAGTAACTGGCGTCTATAGACATGCACATGTATGCCCCAGATCTAACTCCATCCTTATTTCAGAAAAAAAAATGTTTGTACATAATATATGCAACTGCTAAGATTTTTATGAGACTGTCTTTGCATGGCTGTGTTTCGGTTTGAAGGGTGGGATATGGCGTGAATTTACAAGTTACAGAGGAATAACACCTGAGTCCTCAGGAATGGCAATGCATGGATAGTATCATGGGCGAAACAGTATACTCTGTTATGTCCATGGTACTGCTCATGTCTATATGCGACGGTTACCACTTTCCATCAGGTGGGCCATAAGCTTGTTAGCCATTTTAAATTGTATAAAAATAAACTTATCTATCTTTTGGACATATACATAAATTTACAGCACTGTGAATTTCTCTGTCACTGACTAAAATGAATAACGCTAAAATCCATTTTTAAATAGTATTAAAAGAATTCAAGCATGTATATTAAATGAAAATGACGATAATAGCATTTTACTTTATATTTATCCAGATTTTCTACCTCGTGCCGCCGACAGCTACCAACCTCGCCCTGTACCAGCAGTGGAGTGCTGCGAACAATCAAAACGAGAGGTTTTTCGGAGATATGGTATGTTTCAGTCAAGAGCCACGTCTTAGTACAAGGTACTTACAACTTACTTAGGGATTTACACAGGTATGGGCAACTCATTAATGTCTGTTCGTGGTCCTTCGAACCGGATACTGATCTATTTGGTCTTTACGCGACTAATAGAAGTAGTTTTTTTTTGATAGGTGAAAATGGTATGGTAACCCCGCCTGCCCTAACGGGATACGCTGGCGGAGCACCAGTGAAAGGTGATAGATGAGAATGAAAACAGGCCAGTTAGCCCATCATGATGAATTCATCAGGAATTAATCATGATAGTTTCCAGGGGGAACCGCGAGGAGGTCGACCTGGTTGGGTATATTGCTAGCAATAGAATTCTCAGTCTCCATTACTAACAATCCCTTTCCCCCCAATAGAAATAGTTACGCGCGAGTAATGTGTGTGTATGGTCCTTCGATCCGGATAGTCCATGATTATTATGACTAATAGAAATGCTTTTTCTATCATAAATACATAGGTGTATTAGAAATAATGACGGAACATAGTTTTATAAACTATTTGGCGTATTTACTATATTATTTAATAAATCATCACTGTAGGGACAATTATTGCTGTTCACTTAGGTATATATGCCTGTATACATAAATTACATAATGATTGGTTAAGTTGTCAAGACAGAGTGGACAACAAATAAACTTGCTTTGACATTTTTAATATTAATTAAGAATTTACGCACTTTTAGGTGGAATGGTACGGCACTGCAGAACTGCAAGCTGGACAGACACTCTTCATACCCTCGGGCTGGATCCACGCCGTCCTCACACCGTGCGACTCGTTGGTCTTCGGTGGAAACTTCCTGCATTCATACGCTATCGAGATGCAATTGCAGTAAGTTTATTGTATGATTTTTTTTTAATAATTTTTCGCTTGATATAGATTCTTACATAGAAAATATGTATGTATTTACTTTCAGATGCTTTTTATTCAATTTGAAAATTCAATTTTGGAAGTTTGTCTTTTGAGCTTATTATTTGCTTTTAGGATGTAATATTATTGTATACTGGCCGTGTGATCCTAGTATAGAATAGGCCACCCCTTTTTTTCCCTATGGATGTCGTAAGAGGCGACTAAGGGAGGGCGAGGGATGGGCAGCAGCGTCCCTCTTAAAACATCTTTAAAGCCTAACTTAGGTTGCCCATACGCCTGCCAAGTGTGGCGACTTGTTAAAGGCTGATAATATGGATTATTCTATATTTTTGTTTATAACACTTTATGGGGATGAGAAAATATGAGTAAACAACGCGAAAGTACCTATAAAAATGCTAGAAGTTCCAACAAATCATAGGTATTGCTTTTTGTTTTTAGAGTGTACGAGATAGAGCGCCGCGTGGAAACGCCGACTATGTTCCGGTACCCGCTGTTTGAAGCCATGCACTGGTACGCGGGCGCACACCTCCTCACCATGCTGCGGCGGCACAACGAGGAGACGCAGGTAGCTCACAATACACACACACCATCTCACATGTTACCGTAGGATATTTCACATTAACACATAAAAAAAATTATCTCACGTGGAACCCCATCTCATCATGAAATTTCCATATTTTATACCTCAATATTACATACAAGAGTCGAGTATTTCACATGGGCCCCCAACACCTCATGAAATGGAACCTTTTAGAAAGCCTTAGTTATTATCTCACATGAGACCCCAGGAGGCCAATTCTCGTGTATTCGAATGAATTACGAAATCGAGCAAAAGTTCGAATTCGAACATTTCTCGTGTTACATAATTCTGGGTATGTCGATTCCGAGATTTCTCGAGGGAAGGGCGATCGAGATGCGTCGAGTGATCGTGAGCACTCGAGACGGATAATGTCGATTCGAACCATGAGAAATAATTATTGTTTGTTTTTTTTTTATGCAAACTCAAGTTAGATGCCGTTGATTGTCATTTATAAATATTTATTATTATTTACAATAAAGTGTTAACATTAAAAGGGGCGACGAATTCTTTATTGAATTTACCCAAGTAGGTTAAATAATATTGTAAAGAGAACATTATTTTCGCTTGTAATGGATAAACTCAAGAAATATTTAATCGATTGTAAAATAAATTCTTTCACATATATAAGCTACATTATCATTAACATGGGCTGTATTTAAAAAAAAATACTTTTTCTTCTACTTTGACTTCTTTTAATCCATAAGAAGTTGTGATGGACCACTAGTTTAAAATATATTAAAAGAACTAGCTATATTTGCAATTGTTTTTGTTAGGGCGGCTACAGTGGACTGTAAACGCTTATACCATATATTTGTACGTAGAAAAAACTATATACTTATAAAATGTGCACGCATATTATAGCATTGGTGGTGTGATGACAACTGCAGAGAATGCCGGCTTAGCACCGGAGTGAATATAAATGTGTGCATATGGCCATTTTGAATTTATAGAAAACTAATTACGCTGCAAAATTCAAAAATAATCAGAATTTATTTTGTTCATACTCCTGCCAAATCCTTTTCGATCTTATATTGCATGGGTGAAAGACTTTCTTCTCTATCTCTTTCCAACATGTTATAGTGTATTTTCTCTTTACATTGCTTGTCTCTATACCTTTAATTTGGGATTTACATACCTTTATATGCTCTCCTCTTGCAGGACGAAGATTTCACGTTAAGCGAGAGTGTGGTGCAGCCGACGCCGGTGCAGATTCCGCCATTATTATTGCGCGGCATCAAGTTATTAGCTAATGCCTTAAAAGAGTGGCATGCGTTGAAAAGTGTAAGTGGTAGGAATTTATATAAATAACTAGTTCTTACCCGCGGTTTTGTTTACACAATGGGGAAATAATTGATCTGGCTAAGAGTAGAGATGGATACCAGAATGGCGCAGACTGTTTTATGTTTTTAAAACTCCAATAAATAGTACATTACTGCAGCGGCCAGCAACTGAGGCATTGATGGACGAACGTGCAAATGTGGGCTGAGGCGTAGCCGAGGCACACATACGTAAGTTCATCAATGCCTAGTTGTGGCCAAGGCTTGTATAGTACTTTTCTCAAACAATGCTATGAATAAACTTATATTATATAATATAAATAGTTGAGTTGATAAGAAATAATTGATTAGGTGGCGGTAAGGAGTAACGTTTGCCGGATCAACTAGTATCTTTATAGAATAAAATTGGACTTTATGTTAATTCTGATAAAGTATGTTTTACTTCCAGACGGATGCAGCGAAGCGTGATAACGTTCCCAAATGTTTAAACTCGGGGCAGTTAGTACGCGAACTGTGTAAGGAACTTCGCACGTTGGAAAAGAGGTCCCTTAGCGCCGCTAATAAAGATAAAGTGAGTCTTATTACAAGTACATAAGAGCGATGTTACATCTACTAAAACTGACATTTTGTATATTTATTTGTTATTTTAATACAAAAATCAATATATCTAATTGTATGTTACGAAGAGTAGTGCCTTCATTATTTAATGCAATCATAAATAGTCTTTCTAAATCATATATTATAATAGGTTATGGGCCCAGCACACTTTTATTATCATCATCCTCATTTCAGTCGTTCACTGTCAACTGCTGAACATAAGCCTTCCCCATAAGGAGTGTTTGTCAGTGCCAGACTAGTTGCCACTCTTGGTGGACGTGTTGGCAACCGCAATTAAGCTTTGGTGATGTTTTAAGAAGGATGTTGCTTCTTATTCCTCTATGAATAAGTTTCCTTAGTCTCCTCTCACAACACTCATGAAAAAGGAAGAGGGGGTGGCTTATTCTATGCCGGGACCACATGGAATGTTTCCATTATATGTTAATATTGTCTATGACGCTCGTAATTAATAGAAACATTTTAAATTACAGGATTACAAAGTCAAAAACCACTCATCACCGAAAAAATCTCATTCAAACAAACAGAGTGCATCGAAAAAGTCACTGAAACTCACCCTCCCGAAACCAATAATGCATATGGGGCATAACGGAGAGTTTACCGAAGAGAAAGTGTATGCGGACAAATTTGATGTATACAACGATGGTAGATTTGTCTCCCAGGATGTCAAGTACACAAACGGCTTGACCGATAAATATGTGGTCGACGGCAAAGAGATGATTGCACAGGAGAAATTCCAGTTTCAGAACTACGGGGAGCAAGGTTACCAAGACGGGAATGGTTACGTTGAAAGAAACGACAAGAAGAACGTCCTAAAGATCAAGTTAAAGTGAGTAGTTTATTTTTTATTTTAACGTATTACTTTGTCTATCTGTCCGAAAAATTATGTTTTGGGATATCGTAATTGAAGTTCTAAAACGTAATTCTAAATTTGGGCAAATTAGACGGAAGAGCAAAAAAGAAAAAAAAATACAAAACTCAACTTCTGTTACACATATACAACAAATAGAAATTTGTATTAATCGGCCAACTTCGAAAAGAAGGTTCTCGTGTCCTTTGTATTTTTTTTTACGTTTGTTACCTCATAACTCCGTCGGTTGTAAACCGATTTGGAAAATTCCTTTTTTTTTCGTATCTGAAAGGATGTACTTACCAATTGGTCCTATAAAATTGGTTTTTCCACAATTGAAGTAGATTTTTTTTAATACAATTTGAGTATTATTATATTAACAAGTTTCAGTACAGTACATTTACACTAATATTATAAAGAGGAAAGATTTGTATTTTTGTGTGTATGTTTGTAATGAATAAACTCAAAAACTACTTTGCCGATTTAAAAAATTCTTTCACCATTAGAAAGCTACATTCACCCTGAGTAACATAAGCTGATTTACTCAGGGTGAATGTGATCTATTTATTGCAAGAAAAGATTAGGGATCTTTATTAAAACTTTAGTAACGTAACTCAAGGCGTAAAAAAAATGTTAAAAAATATCTTTGGTCGCGTGCGCTGCGGAAACTATTGGTGATAGAACAAACGTATGTTCTACAATATTGAAGAAAATATCAATAACTACGCGAGATACTATATGTCCAACTATTATCGTTACGTCACAATAACAACTTTTTAAAATGTAAAATTGTCTTAATCATTGAAGTGAAATAAAATATGAAAAAAATGGCTTGCACGATATTTGAACTTCAACTGCGGTATATGGTTTAGGACTTTGGGGCCATCTATTAATTACGTGAGCTCAGAATAGAGGGGGGGGGGGGAAGGGTCTAATGAATTCTCACTAAATCTCATTTAAGCCGAGGGGGGGGGGGGGATAATAAAAAATCTCACGTCAACTTCAAAAAATATAAAATATTAAAGATATTACTAAAATATTAAAGATAAACGTAGACGTTTCCAGTGATTGTCTTCCTGCACTACTAGAAATCCCAGATGATATGTGTCCAATTATTTCGATTGAAAAAATACACGAGTATCCATGGATTGAGTAAAAATTTAAAAGAAAGTGTTGTTTTTATGTTTTTACTTTGAATTTTATTTAATTTAAATAAATTAATTATAGTATACCTGAACGATTTATTATTTTCCCGAATAATAAATATAAATTAAGGTTAAAATATTTTTTGGGTCAATCTCACGTAAGGGGCGGGGGGGGGGGGGGGTCAAGGCAAATCTCACTAAATCTCACCTAGGGGGGGGGGGGGGGGAGGTGTCTAAACTGATCGAAAAAGAGCTCACGTAATTAATGGATGCCCCCTTTGATAATTTGAAATTTATATTTTTTATGAGTTTTAAGAACAAAAAAGGATAAAAGGTTAGGTTTGATAAATTGAGATACTAACAGAATATAATTTTGTTGCAGTAATTCTCCCTCGTCGTCACGTGACGAGCCGCCACCTTACAACATGCCTGAACATTCTATCCTCAAGTCCCATCTCATCAGGTCAGATCGGCCCATTCTGAAACCAATCCATCAGTGGACCATCTCCAAGAAGGACATCGGTGACTACCATGAGGAGCAAATATTGTTCACAAATGAGAATCTACAAGCGAACATGAGGATAGAAGGTCAGGAGTTGAATTATGGACCTGGTGAGTTGGATTTGAAATTATTATTCCCAATTTTAATTTATCCTCTCCATCCTAAGGTCTTCCTCTTCCAGGCAAGAGATCGCTATTTAGCGATAAGGCCGCCCATTGTTGCCTCTTTATCTTGCTTTTATGTAATTAATTATTTATTTTATTTGTGTATACATATTGTTAATCTTTATAAGCTATATCATTCTTCGTAAGGAGCAAGGAGTTTTCATTAATTATTTGAAATAAAAAAAGAAAATAAAAAATATTTTTTATTCTAGTAAACTTAGATTTTAGAATAGTCATATTTTATGATTCTATGTACTTCACTTCAATCAATGAAATTACATTCTATGTATTCACTCAGAATGTAATTTCATTGATAAAAAATGAATCATTCATTATATATAATTATGTATGTTATACATACATGAATTTACATTAAAGAAATTGTTATATAAATAAAAACTATAGCTCAACCGCTAGCTTTTCTCAAAATATTTTTTTTGTATCCTGAAAGTTCAGTGGGTCATCTAGTGTAGAATAAAGACAGTAGATGATATGGCGAATTTCGTGTCGCCTACAAAACCATCTATTAAAAGTAATTCCAAGATCAATTTTTAGATTTTACAACTGATCTTTAGGGCTTTTAAAATTTTGTTCTTTTTTTAAATATAACGAACAAAACAGAAAAGAAATATTTAAATCAGTCAAGTCTTTTTTTTTCTAATTTTAGCGTAAACTAACGAACAGCCGTTAGTTTACTTAGTTGTGGTCCCGTGGTGGTTTACTACGTTGGTGGTCCCGGCGTAGAATAAGCCACTTTTTCCTTTCCCGTCGGTATCGTAAGAACCGACTAAGGGACGGCGAAGGATGGGCAGCAGCGTCCCTCTTAAAACATCTCTTAAGCCTGACTGTGGTTGTCAATTCGCCTTCCAAGCGTGACAACTACTGGCAAAACCCCCCAAGGGAGAGGTGTATGTTCAGCAGTGGATAGTTAAAGGCTGGTATGATGATGATAACAGCAATTAATTTTTATATATATAAAAGATAAAAAATTTATACCATTGCGGTGGCACACAAGCATACGGCCCACCTGATGGTAAGCGGTTACCGTAGCCTATGAACGCCTGCAATACCAGAGGTATAACGCGCGCGTTGCCTACCCTGAAGAAACCTCTTTACGCCCCTTTTAAAGAACCCCATGCTGTAGTCTCTTGGGAAAACCTCGGCAGGGAGCTCATTCCATAACCTGAGTGTTCGTGGGAGAAAACATCTCTGAAACCGCGCTGTACGCGACCATTGAGGCTGTAGGACATGAGGGTGAACTCCCTGTAGTCGAGCCGTACGATGATAGAAAGTGGCCGTGGGCATCATATTGAATAATTCCTCTGAGCACAATCCGTTGTACAAGCGGTAGATAAAACATTCTTTAAAAAGCTAATGTACAAGATGAGGAGCCCATGAGATTACTTCCAGTAAATCATGTCTTTTAAAGGAACCTTTCATTTAAAAATAAGTTGTCATGATCTGCTTGTATTCATCAGGTATGTACTCGGCGGAGGACGTGCAGCAAGACTATCAGTACTCGGAGGCGGCTAAGCCGGGCTCCTACCAGCCCGACTACGGGTACCAGCCCGCGGACGTGTCCTACGTGGACTCGTACCAGCGATACGAGGAGGCCCAGATGCCGCAGACCGTGCACCAGGTAATTGGAAATTGGCTTATTTATTTTTCATGAATACCTTGTTTTCTTATTTTAATTTCTTAGGGGGGGGGGGGGATAATCTGACAGGTTGACTTTTATGTGGTTCCCCCTGGAAACCATCGTAGTTTTTTTTTTTTTTTTATGGGTGAAAATGGTATGGTAACCCCGCCTGCGCTAATGGGATACGCTGGCGGAGCACCAGTGAAGGGTGATAGATGAGAATGAAAACAGGCCAGTTAGCCCATCATGATGAATTCATCGGGAATTAACCATGATAGTTTCCAGGGAGAACCGCGAGGAGGTCGACCTGGCTGGGTATATTGCTAGCAATGGGATTCTCAGTCTCTATTACTAACAATCCCTTTGCCCCCCTAACCATCGTAGTTAATTCTAGTTGAATTCGTCAAGATAGGCTAATTGAACTGTTTTCATTCACATTTGTCATCTCTCACTGGTGCCCCGCCGGTGTATACCGATAGCGCATGCGGGGTTACTATCCCATTGTAATCTAATAGGGTTACCATTATATTATCATCTAATTAAAAAAAAATCTTAGGCAGAAGGGGGAGGGGAAGGGATTGTTAGTAATGCGAACTACCAGTCTCATTGCTAGCAATATACCCTTGTCAGGTCGACCTCCACGTGGTCCCCCCTGGAAATCATCGTGCTGAATTCCAGGTGTATTCATCACAATGGGCTGATCTGCCTTTTCATTTTCATCTATCATCTCTCACTGGTGCCCCGTCAGTGTATACCGTTAGCGTAGGCGGGGTTACCATTACATTATCATCCATTAAAAAAAAAAGAATTCTTAGGGGGACATCCTATTTGAACTATGTAAGTTTTATAATACCCTAAATCTAAACTAATATTATAAAAAGGTAAAAATTTTATTGTTTGTTTGTAATGAATAAACTCAAAAACTACTCTACTGATTTTAAACATTCTTTCTTAAGTATAGAAAGCTATAGTATCAGGGAGTAACATGGGTTATATTTATTTATTTATTTATTCTTTATTGTACCACTTAAAGAAAAATACAAAAATAAATATATATTACGCTTACGGAGTACAAAAGGAGGTCTTATCGCTAAAACAATCTATGTTAGTTAAGCAATGTGTTATTTTTGAACATTCTATATATTCATACGAAGTTGGGCCGGATTACTAGTAATGTATAAATAAATAAAAAAATATTAAAAAAAAATATTTTTCATATAGAAAATTATCAATAAGTAATACCTCTAATTTATTTTAAAAAGGCGTGCAAATCCGGGGTGGGTTGCTAGTTAAGAATACATTTTAATTCTATATATCCTAATTATACGGTGAAACGTTCGGTCATTTAGTAAGGCAGGTTTACTTCAATACATATGTACTCAGCCCCATTATGTACATAAGTACTGAGTGCCCACATACCAACATACATACATATACACACATACTTTAGGTTCAGTTTTAAACTCTCCGCCAATGACTCCCTTGTATGCCTATATCTTTCCATACATTGATCAAAGTACTGTTTCCAATTAGAATAAATTGCTAATAAAATTTTACAAGAAAATATGTTTTGAACGAAATAAAGATGTGTGTGTATTATGAGCGACACAGTATACTCTGTTATGTCCATGGTATTTTTCATGTCTATAGATGACGGTTTCCATTTTCCATCAGGTGAGCCGTTGGCTTGTTTGCCATTCTAAGATGCATAAAAAAAATACACATTTTTTTTAACACAATCATTTTATTGGTCAATAAAGTTTAAATAAATAAATAAATTAATAAATCTTGTCATACTTTAAATGGATAAATTATATTTAAATTCGTAAATTGCGTGCTTGTTGCAGCAAACGGCAAGTTTCAGCAATGTGGCTGTACCAGAGATAAATGGCGGCTACCACAACCAGCTGCCGTCGTACGACGCGGCCATAGCGCAGCAGTACGCCAATAATAATTATGTGAGTGAAACAATCGTTATAATCATCATACCAGGCTTTAACTGTTCACTGGTGAACATAACGTCCCCCTAGGGACGTTGCTGCCCATCCCTCGCCCTCCCTTAGTCGTCTCTTACGACACCAACGGGAAAGGAAGGGGTGGCCTGTTCTTTGGACCATTGCTGAATATAGGTCTCTGCATAAGGGGGGTTTTGTCAATAGTTGCCACGCTTCGCAGGTGGTTGCTAACCGCAGTTAGGCTTTGGTGATGTTTTAAGAAGGAAGTCGCTGCCCATTCCTCGACAGTTAAGTTTCTTAGTCAGTTCTTATGATACTTACGGGAAAGAAAGAGGGAAGCAATAAATACATGACTATATTTCCTGATGGCGTAGACAGATTCACATCATAGGGTCTTGTCGGGTGTCGCCGTTGTGGGGAATCATTCAGCTGGTCATATTTGAATTCAGACAGTATTTTTCTTTTATATTCTTGATATGACGCGATGGTTGGTGGATATATTAGTATGACGAATTATAATTTATAATTGTCTACATCAAAAATCAGTTATAATAGTTTAAAAACTAAATTCATGAACCAATTTTTATAAAATTTCTATGGAATCATTCTATAAGTATATCCTTTCATATAAAAAAAATAAATTTCCGAATCGGTTTTCAATTGATATGACTTATGAGGTAACGAACATAAAATAAATACATCCTGTTTTTTTTAAGTCGGTTGAAAAGGATGTTACTCAATTTGAATTTTTTGTGGTTATTATATGTGATAGTGTCGCCAATTATATAAGCAATTCCGCGTTCTAAATTCAAATATTGACCATATAAATTATCTATGTAATGTCTTGTCTTTGATTGTTGAGGGTGTGCTCATAACGGGATTGCATTGTGGGGTAACAGTCAGATATAATAGATGAGAATCAAGGAGTTCAGATGGTTTCCAGGGAGAACTACGTGGAGGTCGGTGAGGATATTATTACCAATGGAACTGTTATTAATAGCGGAGTGGCTATTACTAATAATTACTTTCCTTTACCCAGCAGGTACTGGAGGAGCAGAAGCCGGCGGCGACGGAGGCGGCGGCGTCGGCGTCGGCTGCGCCGGCGCCGGTGCGGCGGTCGGAGAGGCCGGCGCGGCGCCGCGTGTCGGCCACCTATGACTACGAGGACGGCGACCTGTACATCGACGACGCGCCGCCGCCGCGCCGCCGCAAGCCGCCGCGCCACAAGCACCACCACCACCAGCACCAGCACCAGCACTCCAGGCACGCGGCAGGTCAGTGCTCGCTCTAGGTTTGTTTGTTTGCTTGCGACAGTGGCGCCCTCTAGTGATTGCTTTGTATGACTATAAAGTCAAAGCGTCAGTAATTCAAGAAAAGAGCATATTCCTTTTTAAAAGGCCGGCAGCACACCTGCAATGCCGTTGGTATTATGGGTAATCATGGGCGGCGGTAGTCACCATAAGGTGAGCCGCATGTTCGTTTGCCCCGTGTTGTAAAAAAATTCATTCAATGCAAACATTAGATTATCTGTACTCGTAGACGATCAATCGATAGATTTGTTTTCGTCATCAATCAGTCAGAATTTTACAGCGACATCTAGCATTTTGTTTCATGCATGTACTAATTTACTCGTGTTACTTTACTAGAACAGTTTTGCTACGATAATACATACATTTGTATGTTAATTTAAGATAGATAAAATACATTTTTCCACTCATTAGAAGGGAATGTGGTAAGAAAGGTATTATGTATGAATGTGGATGGTTATAAGTGCAGAGGAAGACCCGAAAAGAGATGTAATGACCGTGTGAAAGATTACATGACCAAAAAGGGGGCGATGACTGCAAATAGAGACGATTGGAAGAAGAAACTGCGTAGAGATGTTGCATCTCTGTGCATCTTCTACCGAATTTATCATGGGGAGTGCTCTGAAGAATTGTTCGGATTGATACCTGCTGCTGATTTTCACCATCGTAAAACCCGCCATAAACTAAAATTTCATCCCAACCATCTGGACGAGTGGCGGTCCTCCACCGTGCGTTTTTCAAGGCACTTTCTTCCACGCACAACGAGTCTGGAATCAACTTCCAGCAGCAGTATTTCCGAACTGATACGACAACATAACCTTCATGAAAAGAGCATATTCCCTTTTAAAAGGCCAGCAGCACACGTGCAATGTCGTTGGTGTTGTGGGTGACCATGGGCGGCGGTAGTCACTTTTTTTTTTTATGCAACTTAGAATGGCAAACAAGTTGACGGCCCACCTGATGGAAAGTGGTAACCATCGACTATACACATGAGCAGTACCATGGACATAACAGAGTATACTGTTTCGCCCATGATACCCCCCATGCGTTGCCATTCCTGAGGACTCAGGTGTTATTCCTCTGTACCCAGTTAATTCACGCTTATCATCAGGTGAGCCGCATGCTCGTTTGCCCCCTGTGTTATAAAAAAATAATACAATACAAATCCCTAATAGATTTGGGAAAAAGGCAGGAAGAAAAAGTAAGTCATAATTAACATATTTTTTTTTTTTTACATAACAGCAACAACAAACAGTAGCAGTTACCGGAGTACGTCTGGGGCGAGTGGGACGTGTGTGAGTGGGGCGAGTCGTGCGCCCGCCAATGGCATCGAGTCGCTCATACAGGCCTCCGTGCTGGCCGAGGAGGAACCGCCCACTGCCACGTATGTTTTTTTTTAAACATGCTAACGAAATATTAACCCTACCTGCATTATCTGTATACCTTGAAGGAGTTCTAGTGAAGGATGATAGGTGAGAATGAAGTTAATTAACCCATCGTGAAGAATTCACCAGGAATTGATCACGATGAGTTTCCATGGGACCTTAACAGGGATATTGTGGGGAGGGGGGAGAGATATTGTTAGTATTGGAGACTAAGAATCCTATTGCTAGCAATATACCCAACCAGGTTGACCTCCTAGCGGTTCCACTCTGGAAACTATCATGTATAATTCCTGATGAATTCATCATTATGGGCTTACTGACCTGTTTTCATTCTCATCGATCACCCTTCACTGTTGCTCCGCCAGCGTATCCCGTTAGCGCAGGCGGTGTTACCATTCCATTGTCACCCATCAAAAAAAAGGGTATTGTTAGCAATAGATCCACTGATCTCCATTATTAAGGATCTCTCCCCCCCCCCCCCTGGGGGGGCCCAGTACATGAAGTTTGGCTTCTGTTGAAATTCATATTTACAGACATAACGAAGCATAACCACAGATAATAAAACTTGTAGGATTATCAATTTTCAATATTTCTAAAAGAGCTATCATCGTCACTTAGTTATTGTTACTGATTGTTTATTACAGTGAGGATGCAGCAGTGGCTGGCATGCTCAGCATCAGCGAACGGTACACTGCTCCCCAGAGAACCTTTGGGCTCGCGGCCGATTCGCACCAAACAAACAGCACGCACGATAGGTGAATACATGTGACTTTTACTTCACTCTCACACATTCTACCAAAATACATATTGCAAAGCATGTTGTGTTTGCATCATATGTTTTATACAAAGGTCTTTATAAGTTGTTCTAAGGAAATATTTTGTACACCCTGTGTGTTATATCATGGAGCGTGTTTATAGGTTATTACACTATAATACACGCATAGATAAAAAAAAAATATTAAAATGTGACTTATGGATTCAATAAATTATTTAATTTGGGGAAAACAAGAATTATTTGTGATTATTACATTAAGTTTGACTTCAAAATTCTCACTCAGTGTAGTTATTTTACACAACAACAAAATATCTGATGCCTGCACCGTGCATATTATGTACGGAATATATTATGGTGTTAACATCAAAATGTCGCATTTTTTTTTTGTAATTAAATTCATCTAATTATACAACTAAAATGGCAGTGATATAGCTAGATTAGTAATAATAAAAAAAGGAGAGGTTTTTAGGATATATATTTGGTCAGAGTCCCAGTGGCACAAGTGTAAAACAAAAGATAAACTATCTGTCTATTATAAAAATGCTAAATAAAATAGTACTTAAAAAATGTCAAATATTCTCATTAAACATCTAACAATTTCATTAATTATGTAATTTTATCAGTAGTGGGAGTACGGGAGGTGGACGGTCGCGGTCCCGCAAGGCGGCCGCGAGTAGCGCTGACGAGGACTACGCCGACGAGGAGGATGTCATCAAGGAGGTTCATAGGGATGAGGAATATGGTATTCATAAATTCATAATTGAAAAATTTTATTAATTTTATTCTAAAATTAAAATTTCTTTCAAACATGTTTACCATACATGATATTTTCCAATCTTAACACTAGCTTCTCAAAGGCCACCAATATTAGGTGGAAATCTGGGTATGTTACGAATCGAAAATTAATCTCATCTGAGTATTTTATTCCGATAACGTAACGTAATTTTTTACTGGATAATGTGTAATTGTTTATGTTCTTGTGTCCGCAGTGTACCCGTCGCTGGAGGCGTCGTCGGACGACGAGGACGAGTGGCCCGCGCGCAGGCGGCGTACGCGCTTACCACAGCCTGCACGCGACAAGTCAGTATCAGTGTTATACTTTAACTGTAATTATTGTTATAGTAATGGAAATAACATTATGAGGGCAATTGAATATATCTGCAGGACGGAATTTTATTATATAAATATTGCTTGCTTAAATTATTATTATGACATGCGATTTAATTTTTTTTTTTGTGATGGATAAATTCTAAATATTTAATTTGACTTAAAAAATATATATGCTGTGTTTTATTTTAAATATAATTTAACCCATTCAATACGGCGGCCATATTGAGATCCCTATGCAGTATACGGCTTAGTTTTTCATAAACGGCCGTCACTGACGGCACAACTTTTTCTACGTATATGGCTTAGTTAATTGTTAGGAGTGACTGCCAGTAAATAACGGGCTTCCACAAGTGACTGGAACGGTCTAAAGCACGTTTGAAACTAAAGGAAACCGAGCGCCTCGGAGCGCTCGCCGTCATTGGGTGAGGGCGGGGAGAGCGCCTCGAGGCGCCGGCGCTCGCCGTCACAACGTATAACACTGGACAGCGCCCTGGCGCGCTCTCCGTATTCAATGGGTTAAGATTTTTTTTAATGTTGGTTTATGTAATTGGGTGTTTTGTGTTGTGTGTTCAAAAGTTTACTAGTTTATTCTTTATAATATATAAATATAATTTATAAATATATAATACAGGCCTTCCTAGATCAGGTTCAAGGGTTAAGTGATTGGGCAACTTGTTGTTAGTGTATCGTGTAAATATAATTTTTTTTAATGGCTAAATAATTCAAGGCAACACTGCCTACGTTATTGGCACGTGCTGGTGGGGCACTAGTGAGATACGGTAGGTGAGGATCGAAGCGGATTCGATTATCTATCGTGATGGATTCAGTAGCAATTTGTCAGGATGGTTTCGAGGGGGGATTGTGTGAAGATGGACCTGACAGGGGTGTTAACTTGTAATCGTTTGTGTTAACCGGGTGTCTGGTTTTGTCCAGGGACGAGTCGTGGTCGCCGCGTGCACGGCTAGGTCGCGTGGCGCCGCGGCTGCGTGGCCCGGCGCGCGCGGGCGTGCGGCGCGAGTGCGTACGCGCGGCGCTGACGGCGGCCGCGCACGCGCACGTCGCCGCGCACGCCGCCGCTGCGCACGCGCATCCCGCCGCGCACGCCGCCACGCACGCGCACCACCACAAGGACGCGCATCACGTTAGTGCTCTTCAATATCTTCTACTAACTTTCGCTTGTTGACTTTTTTGACTGATTTCAAAGAAAAGAGGTTCTCGATTCGGTTGTGTTTATTGTCACCACATCAGTTCTGAATGAATTTGAAAAAGTAATCTTTTATCTGAAAAGATATGGTTATAGATTGGTCCTATAGAAATTTTACAAAAATGTAACTGGTATTCAACTCGTTTTTTTATTATGAAATACAATTTTTTTTTCATTATTTCTATAAAATGTGTCCTCTTTCTCATATAATACCTATATACCAAATTTCAAATCATCATCAAGAACGTGCAAATTTGGGCCGAGGCGTAGCCGAGGCACACATACGTGAATCCATCAATGCCTAGTTGTGGCCAAGGCTTGTATAGTAGTTTTCTCAAACAATGCGCAAAAATCAAAAACACAATTTTACTTTTTGAATTCAATGACAAATAACAAACAATAATAATTTTTCATGTACTATAATGTTCCTTTGTTTTTTTTTTTTCTTTTCAACAAACAACTTCCATTAGTTTTAAATTACAGGATAGATATGAGTTCACATAGTAATTTATCTGGCCGCTAAACACGACAGATATGGATTTTCATACAACTTTTGCCGGCCGCTGCCCGCATGTATCTGGCCAATACGGAAATTTTGATGTATCTCGAAGAAGTTTGTCAAAATAATGCTCACATTTCCAAGCATGTTTGAGAAATTATTATTTTATGTTATTTGGATTAGCAAATAGGCTTAATATTTAAAAACTGTATTGAAACCTAATAATCAGATTTCTAATTCTGTAAAATTTTAACTGACTTTTTAACTATCCAATTTTATTTTACCTCTTTACAGCAAAACGCGAAGCGGGCAGTGTTAGCTACAAAGAGCAGACGGCCCCCGCCGCCTGTACAAAGTACGCCAAACAAGAGTGAGTGCGATCTTATATCTTTACGACGTCTTTACCAGAGGGAGACTTTGTACGAAAGTCGATTGCTTGTGTACCTCTGTCCTATTCGTGTTTCAACCGTGAAGCAGTTGTGTTTGCATGGATGTGTTTCGGTTTGAAGGGTGGGATATGGCGTGTATTTACAGGGTACAGAGAAATAACACCTGAGTCCTCAGGAATGGAAACGCATGGAGGGTATCATGGGCGAAACAGTATGTGTGTGTTATGTCCATGGTACTGCTCATGTCTATAGGCGACGGTTACCACTTTCCATCAGGTGGGCCGTCAGCTTGTCTGTCATTGTAAGTCGTATAAAAATAAAAATAAAAAAAAATATAGAAATAAATAAATAAAATGTAGAAAAAAAGAGTATATAAGTATCTCGATTAGCTTGTATTAGTACTCATAGCATAAGTTATGCTTAATTTTGGTACTAGATGGCGTTATGTAATACCTGTTATTAAAATTAAATTGCAGATATAAGACTGAAAAAGGGTATGAAGACGGCCAAACAGCGTCTCGGCAAAATCCTCAAAATACACAAGATGGTATATTAAAATAAACATAGTTTACGTACGTAGATGTATATTTTATATATGTATTTAGCACGGACCAATATGTGTTGTGGATATGTCGGTCTACTGTTTGTGCGGTCGGATTTATGAATTTGTACCTTATGTTAACTCAACTGTAAGTTGAATTTTGTTGATCGGGCTTCTATATATTTAAAATAATTCGAGGTTCCGTTAATACCGCAATATTAGAATAGCAGCTACATTTTAATAAATATAAGGTTTATTTTCATTTGAATTATTGAAAATGGATTTTATAAATTCGACCGCAAGCCTACTACCGTGTATCTTAATCGAGTCATATAATTGTTTTCAAGTATTTGTATATTGATGTCTTATTTGTGTCGATTCGGATGCGTATATCTTTTAGCACCTTATTACCTGACCATACGGTTTAGAATTGCCTACTTTTAACATTTTTTTTTTTTATTGAGTAGTGCTCGCGTGAATGGCATTTTTAATATTGTCCCCATGATAATAAGGTTATAATTGCAATGTGCGTGTCATTTAATAGGGTTGCCACTGCGTATTATTTAATTTTAAATCAGATCATGACAGGTGGGTTATACTTGATAATATGGTACCTTTACTATGAAAGAAGAAAATATTTAGTTTGTTTTTTTAACCAATAGTGAAATTTCAGATTGATTGCTAGAAAGATATGATTTTTAATGTTATTTTTTGTCTATTGTATCAGCCGTTAAGAGTCCACTGCTGAATATGGTCTCCCCTATAAGGGGGGGGGGGGGTTTGCCAGTAGGAACCACGCTTGGCAGGCGGATTGGCAACCGCAGTTTGGCTTTTGGTGACGTTTTAACCGTTGTAATGCCATCTCTTACTCATATCTACTTAAAAATGCCAAAGAAATCTTTGTCGTGTTGATGTCATTTATCCTTGTTTCTAAAAAAACTGTATCTCCTCCAAAAATTATCCAATTTGAACCCTTTGCACCCGAGCGGCGCCCGAGTGTTTTAAAACTTTAAATCGAACTACGCTGCTACGACGCTATGGTTTTTTGTAACTGGATCTCCTTATTTACAATATGCGATAAGATGGTTTTCTCGGAAGGCCGAAATCGTCTCGAGTCGCTGGTTCGCGCGAGCGGAAAAGGCCTCGAATGCAAAGGGTTAATAATTTTTCTACAGCGAGCTAAACAGCAACTGATTTCATGAGCGCTATAGCGCTTTTAGTTACAATGCGTACTCGGCACTCAAACGGTTAAGAGGGATTCTGCTGCACATCCCTCTGCCATTCGGTTCCCTTTGTCGCCTCTTACGTCATCCACGGGAAAGGAAAGGGTGGCCCGTTCTATGCTGGGCCCTACACGGCAAATTTTTGTGTGTATTACTTAAAAAACAAATTATATTGGGGTGTAACCCTGCACGTTCTATATACGTATCTTTGAAAATTAAGATGCGATTTGTCAACTATAAAAAAAAAAAAATATAATAAATAGTATTATTGTCTATGGATTATGTTAGGAGTATATTAGTTATTCTCTTATTATTTTCTTAACGGTTTTTAAAAAAACTTCAAATGTCTATAGTTATTGTTTTATATATATATATATATATATATATATATATATATATATATATATATATATATATATATATATATATATATATATATCTCTCTTTTGTACTGAATTATCTATTTGAAGGAAAGTGACAAAATAACAAATGGTATTTTTTTTTTCACTTTGAAATGTCTAAGAAAATTTTCTAGTTTCTATTACAAGTTTTATTTTTATTTTAATCACATAGTTTTTAAATAAATTTAGATATTTATTTAATAACTATACACATATATTATATATTTATTTGTTTAACAAATATAGTGTAAACTCCATTCTTGACCAACAAAACTAAAATAAAATAAATTTTTATTCGCGTAAACTTAATATTAAGCATTTATAAATAGTATTTTTTTTTATGAATCTACCGTATATACCTATAATATGTACTGATATTTCTCTCTCTTTCTTCCCTGCCCTGCCTCCTTCTATATGTATGTAAAAGCGAAAGTGTAAACCAAAAACAGTCCACGGTGGCATAGAGTTCATTCATACGCTGGCATATTGCTGGGCCTCCCCTTATGTGGTGTTGCTCGGCAGGCGAAGATCTCGCTGAATGCACTAGATGCATGAGTTAGAAGACTTAAGAGACTGTTCTGTACATCTGTCATTGGTGTAAATGCAAGATGCAAGGCCTGTATATCGATTAAAATTAATGTCTGTATTTATATTGTTGATGTACCTTTTAAAAATAAATAAATAAATAGCCCCCCCCCCCACCTTTTTGGCACGTGTTACCGCTGGGGGGAGGAGAGTGCCTCGGACTGGTTTCCCTGTCCCTGTGAGCAATTACCACAGGGAGACTGTACAAAAGTCGTTTACTTGAGTACCTCTGTCCCATTCGTGTTTCAACCGTGAAGCAGTTGTGTTTGCATGGCTGTGTTTCGGTTTGAAGGGTGGGATATGGCGTGAGTTTACAGGGTACAGAGCAATAACACCTTAGCCTTTAGGAATGGCAACACATGGGGGGTATCATGGGCGAAACAGTATACTCTGTTATGTCCATGTTACTGCTCATGTCTATAGGTGACGGTTACCAGTTTCCATCAGGTGGGCCGTCAGCTTGTTTGCCATTCTAAGTTGCATAAAAAATGCAGAACACTGTAATTGCGTGTGTTTTTTTACTTGTGAAGTTGATTTTTACATAGAAGTTGTGAACATTGCCCATACACATTCTGCCTCTGAGAAGGCCTGCAATCGTTGCTTTGTTTATTTTACTGTATAACACGTCTTTAGCTCGGTTGTATGTAGTAATTATTTGCCAAAGATTAAGAAAAAAACACGCTCTGTTATTTATTTTTTAATCCTTTAACCAAATCCTTCAGACAAGTTGTAAAGGACGGCTAACGGAAATGTATGTGTGTATTATATGATTAAATCATATTTATGTACACATTTCCGTTAGCGTACCTACAAGGAAGAGCAAGATATGAATATTACTGTCTCGTTCATGTGATAACATGCGGTAACGATAGTGTATCTACCGTGAACGGTTTGCTACTTGTCTAGGAGACAAGTACATTAACTGTTGTCGTTTTATGTTGTAGTAATCTTAGTAAGTTAGTTTATAAACACATAATACTATATGGCGAGCAAATTGTTCACTCTATATAATGAAAACTTTGCTATGGGGTTCTTCAAAAAGGGTGTATTATGGTTTCTTCAGGGTCGGCAATGAGCACGTGATATCTTTGAAGTCACAGGCGTCCATAGACTACAGTGACCACAATACAGACCGTTTACAGATGGGCAGTATGCTTGTTTGCCGCTTTCGTGTTATTATAAAAAAAAGAAAACTTTCTAAAAAATACGACATGGGGATGTTTAAAAAGAAAATTTCTCTTTTTAAAAAGCCGACAAGACATTGGTCGTAATTAGTATAGTTAGTGTCCATGGGCTACGGTAATCACTTGCCATACGGTAAACAGCACGTTCTTGTCACCCTCTTATATAAAAAAGAAACTACACGTGGTCGTTAAGTGTAAAACTCCAGAACGGCTGGATTAATTCGACATTTTTGTTTTTAAATATTAATTGAAGTCTAATAAAAGTTCTCGTGTGGAGAAAAATTGGAAATAGGCCCAGAAAGACTTGAAAACTGTGGTTTACTACACATATTATATTTTAGTCAGAACTTTTGCAATGAATTAACGCTGGTCATAGATTTTTTTTTTTTTATTTTTCTTTATCGATTTTTACGAGTCTTCAAAAGACTTCAATGCCATACATTTTGGTTATCCGCCTTTGTTAAAATTAAACCCATTTTTTTTAAATTATAGTAATTAATGTATGCATTATCTACTTAATTTTCTATTTGTCCTATGGTTGACTGATAGAGTCCGCCATTTGTTCACTTATATATTTATTCCTTGAAGGATTTATTTAATAAATAAATATTATTTAGGATTCTACTATAACCCACCTGTCAAAACGTGGTTAAAACCCATTTATGGTCCACAGGGCCAAGGAATTTTGTAAATGATCCTATTTCTAATACCTACATACAATAATTTGAAATAATGTAAAAATTTATTCACACCAATGGCTATTATGTGTATTATTGACCTTGGAGTCGATTCTGGGGCACCATACTCTTCACTCTAAAATTACAATTTGATAGTTTAACTAAACTATTACAGTATAGAATGTGAAATATTTGACATAATTTTATTAGAAGTTTACTTTATTATTGAACCTAAGGATAATCATTTTGCTGTAGTAACAAATTGAAATTTTAATTTTAGAGTAGGGTTGGGTAATATATATTTGTATATTTTAGTTCAATATCTATCTATATACTGGTACAATAACGAATATTCCACCAATTTTCCACCGTCAATATCCAGAGTGATTTACCAATAATACCAGAGGAGACTGTACAAAAGTCGATTGCTTGGGTGCCTCTATCCCATTCGTGTTTCAACCGTGAAGCAGTTGTGTTTGCATGGTTGTGTTTCGGTTTGATGGGTGGGATATGGCGTGAATTTACAGGGCACAGAGGAATTACACCTGAATCCTCAGGAATGGCAACGCATGGGGGGTATCATGGGTGAAACAGTATCCTCTGTTATGTCCATGGTACAGCTCATGTGTATAAGCGACGGTTACCACTTTCTATCAGGTGGGCCGTAAGCTTGTTTGTCATTCTAAGTTGTAAAATATATATATATATATATATATATATATATATATATATATATATATATATATATATATATATATATATATATATATATATATATATATATATATATATATATATATATATATATATATATATATATATTGGTTCGATATCCATATTACCCATGCCTTTTTTAGAGATAGATTATGGTGTTTTAGAGTCGACTCCATTGTCTATTTCAAATTAACAATGACTAGTTCTAACTCGATACGCTAGAGGGCACACCATCACTGCTGGTGTGTTCAAGAACCTTCACCAGCAGTTCTAATTTCAAATTATGTTTAATAAACAAATCTCATTACAGTTTATTTTATAGTCAACTATTTTTTTTTTAATTAATACGTCAATAGATTGTTGAAATATCCTCATTGGAGTTATTGAGGTTTTGTTACGTTTCTTACCTTAGTGATATAGTAGCTGTAAGTTTATGTTGTTATTTTACTTTGGCGCTAAATGAGGGAGGCGCGACATGAAATCTCTTGTGTCTTGGGGAGTGTAGATGGGAGGTTGGAGAGGGGGAGGGATAGATAGAAAGATACTCTTTATTGTTTCCTCCAAAAGATTACAACAGTAAACTTATTATAAATATAAACAATTACAAGAAATAATCACAATGAGAAAACAATGGGCGACCTTATCGCTAAGAGCGATCTCTTCCAGGCAACCTTAGTATATCATATTATGACCTGTTTTCCATACTTATAATTAATAAAAACTTTTATTGGTGATTATGGAATGATAACGCTGGAGGGGCACCAGTGAAGGATTATAAGTGTGGATGAAAATGCAAGTCAGTTAGCCCATCGTGACAAATTCACATGGAATTAAGCAAGATGGTGTCAAGAGAGACTGCGCGGAATGCCCCGTCACTACCCGTTACCCGTTCCTAGTATAAAGTAACCTTTTAACATCCAACCTTCCGTTGATCACGGTTTGAATGCATTAAAAAAAAGGAAAGTGAATAAAATGTTTCGGTATGTCGATTAATTATCTATTTAATCTAGTAGCACCTGTAATAGAAGCTCTACTTAGTGTAGGTCTAGATGGCGCTGTGTACAAAGCAAACAAAAACAAATGAAAAGCAAGCAAAAGGCAAACCCCCCCCCCCCCCCTAGTCCTCGCCGTATTCTAAACTAGTAGTAAATTGTATATTCATTAGATATACTCAAATCAATGGCTTGTCATGGCTTGTGCTAATTGATAGCTGGTCGTTACGGTGTTGCCAGTTCATCGCGCGCCTTCCTCCTACCGACAGATGTCTCTACTTAAACAGGGTTACAGTGTTTGTATCACAAATCGTCTACGTTCATTTATGACTGGCGCTGTATAATTAGTTTGTTAATACTATTGCTAATGATATTGTGACATTTATCTGTACAACGCAATTAATACGCTATTTATATATGTATTAGGTTCAAAATGTTACGCTCTAAGATGGGATTCGAATCTATATAAGACAGATCCGTGGCGCTTGTTTTGAAGTATGTACATACGTAGATACGTACATAGGTTTTAAATATAAACACAATTGATTTTACTATCAAAGTGAAAGCTTTTTTTTAAGCAATTTATAATCTAAATATTATATTGTCATAGTCGTAGAATACTGACGTATCTGACAAATATTACATATAACGATCCGTCAGTATTCTACGACTGTGACGATATGTTTTTTTTTTATTATTTTTTTTTACGAGTGTACAGATAAAATTTCCGTCTTCAAGAATCTATGTCACAATGTCTATTCTATTAAGTGTAATGTTTGGTACTCGTTGAGTGTTGCCAGCTTGCTGAATGTATCGCAAATCAGACATTATTGTTAATTATGATGAATTAATGTACACTTCGAGCTATTTTTCACATCGACTCTTTTGACTTTTTTTTTTATTGTAACAAGAATAATTTATACAGTCACTGTTTTACACTGGGATTTATGGTTTTATCAATGAATATAAATATAAAATGAGTGTTTTTATGTTTCGTTGCTATTGAGTGTATATCTGTGAACCGTGTTATGGTAGAAAATGGTATGGTAACCCCGCCTGCGCTAAACGGTATACGCTTGGCGGAGCACCAGTGAAGGATGATAGATGAGAATGAAAACAGGCCAGTTAGCCCATCATGATGAATTCATCGGGAATTAACCATGATAGTTGTCAGGGAGAACTGCGAAGAGATCGACCTGGTTGGGTATATTGCTAGCAACGGGATTCTCAGTCTTCATTACTTACAATCCCTTACTCCCCAATACCTATATATTCGAGTTATAATATCTATACAATAATATACACTCAATAACAGATATATTAATTATTGGTTACCCAATATATAGTGTCAAAAAGAATAGCGCTGGTATGGAAATATATAACTGATATGGGCGTTATCGCAATACATGGTCATCAATATCCCTTTCAGACCTGAACGATACGAGCGTGAGTTGTAATTTTAAAAAATTCTAAAACCGCGCCCAATTCATTTTTACGCACGAAGCTGAAATAACGTGATAGTGAGATTCTAAACCAGCCAATAAGAAATCATTTTAGCGGTTAGGTGGTGCAGTAGTCTCGTGCGTGCCGGCAAGATGGCTTGGCTCCAAAACACGAAAATATATTTAATCTGAAAGCAAAAAAATCTTGTGTCTGAAAGGGATATCCGGAAAACCTCTATATATAGATATCGGGTATTGTAATAATAATAAATCTTTTATTTTCAGATATACACCCATAGTTTACAGTTATTATGATTAAAATTTCCTTTTAATTAATTAATTACAATTTTTACATTATTAATTATACAAACTATTATTATTATTATTTTTAAAATACCCATCTCTTGTAAAAGTAGTCAAAAGAACTTAACTGGTTGTTAGTTTGAAATAACATATCTCTACAATTACATTATACTTTCTAGTTAAATTGTCGTCCGATGATAGTTTGTCTAAGTTAAAACGTATTAAATCATTGTAAATATACCATACTGATGATGTAGCGTACAATCCAACAGTGAATTCGGTCCTTCGATAAATAATCATTAACTTATTTGTTTAAAAAGCACTAGCTAGATATAAAGTTTCAAGCGCCTTTCTGCTTAGACCTAGTTTAATGTAACATAGAGATTTGTATTCCGATATTTTTCTCCAAAATGTTATAAAATAATATAGTGCCCGTTTAATTTAATGATACAATCGATCGAGAGTAGCTAGTTTTTTCCACTCATGAGATATTAGACCTTTAGCTTAATCTGATACTTTAATTTGAAAATTTCCCGAAATTATTGTTTTATGGACCATACATATACATACATACTAAAATTATAAAATTTTTAATTATTCTATATGAAAACTAAATCGTATCGGTCCTCAAAATAAAGATTTCGCTGTGAAATTTTAATCTTTAAAAGAAAAGGTTTTAAGGTTAGAAAAATGGCGCCGATTCTGAGGCGCCATCGCTTGAAATGTCAAAGTTTGGCGCCAATTGTTTTTGACATTATTTTTTTTCGTAGTGACAGCGTTCGGTTAATGTTATAATGATACTTAAGTTCTTAATTATCATAATAACATATCGTGTCTTAACAAGCATATCATGGCCGAATTCTTTTTTTTAAATTTACCGCGTTTTTCTTTCAGTTAGACAGTGGTATAGAAAAATATAATAGTTCTTAGTGTTTTAAAATATATTTATATTATTATCTGTATATATATTATTTGAGTATCTTTAACATCTCACTGTGGAATATATATTTTATATATAATAATGAATAGTAAATATTTTTAATGTTTTGAAATCTACGAATCTATAAAGCTTGTCGCTGGCGACTGTTGTATCCAATATAATCTATGATTATTATTTTTTTACTATAAACTGTGTGCCTATAGAGAAAATATCGGAAAACAATAGTATCAGATAGTATGTAACAGATTTATTGTAAATTAATTACGGCGAATGTATATTGTTGTGACAAAGAAAGAATTTTCTAGACGTATCCAAGTTTTTTTTGTTTTATTTATCCTCAAACAAAACACCAATATTATTTATATCACCAAGGTAAGTCGTTTTTTTTTCTATAAATTTCAATAAATTCATTCTATAAAGCAATATTCATCCATTAGTTTTTTTTTTTTTTGTTATATTACGAAGGTGATAAATAAGCATACGGCTCGTCTGATAAGGGAGAAAGGGATTGTTAGTAATGGGGTCTAACAGCTCTATTGCTAGCAATGTCTGGTTGATTTCCACGCGGTTTCCTCCTAGAAAACATCGTGGCTAATTGTTGAATTCGTCACGATGGGCCAACTGACCTGCTTCATCCTCATCTATCTTCCCTCACTGGTGCTCCGACAGTGTGTACCGATAGCGCAGACGGAGTTATCATACCATTATCACCCATTAAAAAAACCACCAGAGGGAGACTGTAAAAAAGTCGATTGCTTGGGTACCTCTGTACCATTCGTGTTTCAACCGTGAAGCAGTTGTGTTTGCATGGCTGTGTTTCGGTTTGAAGGGTGGGATATGGCGTGAATTTACAGGGTACAGAGTAATAACACCTGAGTCCTCAGGAATGGCAACGCATGGGGGGTATCATGGGCGAAACAGTATACTCTGTTATGTCCATGGCACTGCTCATGTCTATAGGCGACGGTTACCACTTTCCATCAGGTGGGCCGTCAGCTTGTTTGCCATTCTAAGTTGTATAAAAAAAAACCCAAAGATGCAGGTCTGTGCATTTATTGCAGTTAGTCTGTTCGTTTGTTGTGGCACCTAAATTCTTGGATACTCTTTAAGGTGTCTTAAAGCATTAGGATTTTTGGACTTCGTATTACGAACTATGTTCAATTCAGGGATTATTTGGAGGAAAAAGCGAATCTTTGCTTCTAACTTAGTGTTCTGAACAAGGCGAAGGAGTATTTCACTCCTCAGCATAGACTCCTGCTATAGAAAACCCAAATTCACCCACATAGAGAGTACTGCTTATATCTTTGGTCAGGAGTACCCCAATATCGGCTCCTTTCACTCTATACAGCGTCGCTATTAGTATACACTGGCGGGGCACCAGTGAGTGATGATAGGTAAGGATAAAAAGACAGGTCAGTTAGCCCATCGTGGTGAACACACCTGTAATTTAGCACGATGGTTTCCAGGGGAGACCACGTGGAGGTCGACCTGATTGTGTATATTGTTAGCATTAGTGCACTTAGTCTCCATTATTAATAATCCCTTCCCCCCGAGCGGTACGAGTTGTCGACGATCCCATGGTAACGGACGGTTTGGATTCCCTGAGTTTGAGACAGGATGTTGTCTATCAATTTTATATGGGCTGTACAATGGGGAATGATCCAGGGAATTATATGGCCTGATTTATTATGCAACTTAGAATGGCAAACAAGCCTACACTAGGCAGCTATGAATTGAGAAAAATAGCAACTGATGGTGTATCTTTCGTCCTCTTTTTACTAATTATATTTGCATAAGAAGAAAGGAGGCAACCATATGATTTACAGTTTTTATTTTATCATCCCTACATGTAATTCCTTGTTCCTAGAACTTATTTGCAAACTTACTTTCATTTTAGAGGGATATTTTTTTACTATTAAAGATTTTTGCCATACTCAACTACAATTCAGTGTATGTACTTATTTAAAACGGTCGTGAGACATTATCACGATTAGATTTACGAGTACAACAGAGTCATAATGTCGCCATAAACGACTATGTAAAGCAAGCAAGCCGATGGCCCGCCTGGTGGAAAATGGGAATTGTCGTCTATACACGAACAGTACCAGGAATACAACAGAATACACGGTAATTACTTTTTTTTCTTTATTTAAGGGTATTTATTCTTATTTGAATATGTCATCTCTATAGGTAAACATAATACGATGTTATTGTATTGTAATGTAAGATTATTAACTAAAATTAACTTTTTTTTTATACAACTTAGAATGGCAAACAAGCTGACGGCCCACCTGATGGAAAGTGGTAACCGTCGCCTATAGACATGAGCAGTACCACGGACATAACAGAGTATACTGTTTCGCCCATGATACCCCCCATGCGTTGCCATTCCTGAGGACTCGGGTGTTATTCCTCCGTACCCAGTGAATTCACGCCATATCGTGGGATATCCTTTAAACCGAAACGCAGCCATGCAAACACAACTGCTTCACGGTTGAAACACGAATGGTACAGAGGTACCCAAGCAATCGACTTTTATACAAAGTCTCCCTCTAGTATCCGATAGCGAAGTTTTTTCCCCTCCATGAAATAATAACGTACTTTTTCATTGTATATTAGCTATGGGTTACTGTGTGAACGTCTGCTATTTCTGGCAAAATAAAATAACAATGCCATTACCTTTACACAAGTTGTCGTGAACTAATTATTTTACAATATTCATGCCTGTGGCTCTTTTCTATTTGTCGGGTCGTGGTCGTCGCACGCAGCTGCTGATTCTTCAATGTACAAGATATTTTATTCAGTGCCATTATTAAGACAGGTTGGTTTTTAAATTATTATTCATGTAACAAATTTGAAAACATTAGGACCTTGAATTCGCACGTAAGTGGACGCGCGTGTAACACCTGTGGTGACACTGCCTTAATTTTAACCGCCTTTAAAAAGGAAAAGTTTTAAATTGGTCTATTTTTTTTTCTTATTTCGTTAATTCAGAACTGATTTTGATATTTTTTTTTAAATAGTAATATTTATTTATTTATTTAAGGCAGAACAATACATAATTATACATTTAAATACTAATTTAACAGCCACTAAAGTTTGCACAAATGTAATACAAATGAAGGAAACATAAAATTAATCAAAATTAAATAATATTAAATTAAACAATACTAAATAAATATAATATAAATATTTTTCAATCTCGAATATCGATTTCGTAGTTTTTTTTTTTAGATGGGCGCACACTTCCACGTTAATTTCATACTCGAAGCCCAAGGCAGGTCAGGGGATTTTTTTCGCGATTCATGTTATATTTTTGCAATAGAATCTCGCTTGTTTGTAAAAGCGTGACGCTTAAATAAGTCAAATAATGCATTAACAGCAATAAGTATTACAATTTTATATATATTATTTATTACACTTGTGAAAAAAAAATACCTACAGCGATTAATTGGTTTAACAACTTGTTAGCAAGGGTGGTTTTATCTCTGCAAGGGATCTCTTACAGCCATCTTAATGTAGCTAGAGAGAAAACCTTACCTTTTAGTGCGGAGAAAATTTTACAAATAGTATATGAGGGAGATTTTGTACAAAGGTACAAAAAGGTGATTGCTTGGGTACCTCTGTCCCATTCGTGTTTCAACCGTGAAGCAGTTGTGTCTGCATGGCTGTGTTTCGGTTTGAAGGGTGGGATATGGCGTGAATTTACTGGGTACAGAGGAATAACACCTGAGTCCTCAGGAATGGCAACGCATGGGGTGCATCATAGGCGAAACAGTATACTCTGTTATGTCCATGGTACTGCTCATGTGTATAGGCGACGGTTATCACTTTCCATCAGGTGGGCCGTCAGCTTGTTTGCCATTCTAAGTTGTATGAAAAAAAAAATGTAACTAATCTTTTTATATGTTAATACGGTTTGAAGATGTAGTAAAACTATTTCTATTGACATGGTAAAACCAAACATAGGTACCTAATACAATATGAATACTAGTAGTAAACAAGTACGTAAGTGATACCTCATTGTTACGTTTCAAGCGAACTCATAAAGAAGGAGGTATTCAAATCGGTTTTTATTTTAATGGATGATAATGGAATGGTAACCCCACGCGCGCTATCGGTATACACCGGCGGGGCACCAGTGAAGAATGATAGGTGAAGTAGGTCAGTTAGCCCACCGTGACGAATTCAACAAGAATTGTTCACGATGGTTTCCAGGGGGAACCACGTGGAGGTTGACCTAATAAGGCATATTGCTAGCAATGGGGCTGTCAAACTCCATTGCTAACAATCCCTTTCCCCCCACTCAGATCGGTTGTATTTTTCCTTATGTTTGTTACCTCATAACTCCGTCAATTCTAAACGGATTTGGAAAAGTCTTTTTTTATCTGAAAGGATATACTTATAGTTTGGTCCTGTAGAGATTTTGTCAAAATTGGTTGAGTAATTTAGTTTTTTTTATACAACTTAGAATGGTAAACAAGCTGAGAGCCCACCTGATGGAAAGTGGTAACCGTCGCCTATAGACATGAGCATTACCATGGACATAACAGAGTATACTATTTCGCCTATGATACCCCCCATGCGTTGCCATTCCTGAGGACTCAGATGTTATTCCTCTGTGTCCTGTAAATTCACGCCATATCCCACCCTTCAAACCGAAACACAGCCATGCAAACACAACTGCTTCACGGTTGAAACACGAATGGAACAGAGGTACCCAAGCAATCGACTTTTGTACAAAATCTCCCTTTGGTATAAAATCATTTTAAAATATATTCCATTCACAACTGTTCTATTACAGAGGAAATGTTGAAATACGTACACTCGTATGTCGGCTTCGAATCCTGCCGGCGAACAGCTGAATCAACATAGATAAGTTTATATCCACTTGTTAACATGACCTTGAATAGATTCAAGCCTTCTACGTAATACAGTGTAAGGTTTTTTTTTTTTTGATGGGTGAAATTGGTATGATAAACCCGCCTGCGCTAAACTATCATGATTAATTCCTGATGAATTCATTATGGTGGGCTAACTGGCTTGCTTTCATTCTCATCTATCACCGCTCACTAGTGCTTCGCCAGCGTATCCCGGAAACGAAAAAAAATATAAACGAATTAAGGTCTTCCTTTTTGAAGTTCGTTAAAAAAACGACTAATTTAGATAAAACTCGCCATAGTATTTGTTTAATGGATGATAGTAGAATGGTAACTCAGCCTGCGCCTGTACCCTGCCAGTATACACTGGCAGGGTACCAGTGGGGGATGATAAGTGATGAAAAGGCAGGTCAGTTAGTCCATTGTGATGAATACACCTGGAATTCAGTACGATGGTTTCCAGGGAGGCCACGTGGAGGTCGACCTGACAGGGTATATTGCTAGCAATGGGACTGGCAGTCCGCATTAATAGCAATCCCATCCCCTCACCAATGTATTAAATAGATATGGTCATATAGATCAAGATGACTTTGAACGAAGATTCGTGATTTCTTTGGTTACCCACAATGATTTTATCCATGTATTTTGATGTATTTATTCTTCCGTTCCAGACATGGGTAACTTTCAGCGTTCTCATGTTTATGGTTGGTCAAGGAATGGTGATAGGTTACACGACAATGTTGGCAGCTCTTCAAAAACCTATATCCGGTATTCTACTTGATAATTACGGAGCATTCCAACTGGGTAAATATTTTATTTACTATTTCTATTTATTGTTAGTGAGGTAAACTAGCAGACGGTCCACCTGATGGAAAGCGCCTACAGTCGCCCAATACCTGCAACACGAGAGGAGTTGCTTGTGCGTTGCTGGCCTTTTAAATATTTAAAGGCACGTTTTTTTAAATAGCTCATACTATATTGTAAAGGGAAAACTGAAGACGGGAGCTCATTCCACACGAGGGAGAAATGAACGGGATGCATGAACAGTAGTACTATGCCATGCACCCAAGAAATGAGGAAATTAATAAACTATTATAGAACACAATGTGATGTGACAGTGAAAAGATATAGAGAAAAACTTAGACAATCATAATAAGATAGAAGAAATCAAAATTCAAGAATTCAGGACCCCACGAGCAACCGAGGTTTTCCCTAAAGACTACGGAATGGGATTTTTTAAAAAGATTTCTTTAGGCTCAGCAACGCGCACGTGACAACCCTAATGTTGCAGGCGTCTATAGGCTACAGTAACCGTTTACCATCACACAGGCTGTATGCTTGTTTGCTACCTTTGTGGTATAAAAAACAAAACAGCGTATATGCTTGAGACGACTTATAAAATTGGATGAAGCACTTGCCTTTCATTAAAGACATACATCACTGGATATGCCGTGTGGTCCTGGACTACCCCTACTACTCCCTCCTTTTTCGTGGTTGTCGTAAGAGGCGACTAAGAAGACTTGGTCGAGGGATGGGCAAAAGCGTACGTTTTAAAACATTACCAAAGTCTAGCTGCGTTTGCTAGCTCGCCTGCCAAGCGTAGCAACTACTGGCGTACTAACTATCCTCCTTATGGGGGATGCCTATGTTCAGCAGTGGACAGTTAACGTCTGATTTAATAATAATTATAATATAATAATCACTGAACATATGTATTTGGTACTCGGTATGTTTTCTTTGTTTCTCCCATAGTTTATGGGATATGACATGAAGATAGAATAGTTTTAATATATTTACATGTTAGATACATCTACATTTGGCGTTCCATTGTTTTTGCTTACCCTAATGGGAAACAGGCGTGACAGATATGTATGTATGTATGTATACATCTACATGATTTAATACACGAATTGGGAAACTTATTGTAGTAAACTTATATTCCAGAATTGGTGATGATTTTATTTGCTGTCCAAATCTAATAACTCCAACCAAAGCACGTAACGATGAAAGCAACTTCTAATACTCTTATTTTATATCTTATTTCAGAAACCTGGTTAGAACGATCATGTTTTATTGGACTTGTCATATCATCTATACTAATGGACTGGTGTGGTCGAAAAACCACTTACTTACTGATGATCCTTACGGGAGTAACCGGATGGTTACTAATTGATTTCGCTCAAACTTTATCAATGCTCATCGTAGGATGTTTGTTAAGTGGAACTACGTTTGGAAATTTATTACTAACTTCACTGATTATTAGCGAGTATGCCAGCCCGAAATATCGAGGAATATTTCTCTGTTTGAAAACGGTCTCAGTTTCTGTTGGGATCACAATCAGTCATATTCTAGGTAATGATTTTGATTGCAGACTACTATCTACGTTGGTATTGATATTTTATATCGTATCTTTTGGTATGGCTTGCGATTGGCCAGAGAGCCCTGTTTGGTTGGCGTCAAGAAAACAGTTCGTGAAATGCGAAGAATCTTTCATTTGGTTAAGAGGAACTGAGGAGCCATCAATGGCAGAATTTCAAGAATTGATCAAAGCACATAAAGAACAATACATGTACAAGTGTTTAAGAACCAGAACAAAGATTGTAGAGTTTATGCAAAAATTTATAAAAACAGATTTTTTAAAACCTATTACAATCATGATATTTGCATTCCTGTTATTAGAAGCAAGTGGCAAGCACTATTTTCCTGCATATACTTTGCAGTTTATTGGCGAAATCACACCTCGATCTTTCTATAATACGTTGTATATTGATCTAGTCCTATTAACTAGTTCTACAATTTCATGTATTTCAATTAGATTATTTAAAAGGCGAAGTGTTTTACTGAGCACAGGAATAGCAGCTGTTATTGTATTAATTTTAACGAGTAGTCATATTTTTTTAATTTCTAATAACATTTTACCTAACAGACCATCGATTTCTATATTATTGTTATTTTTATATTTAGCATTAGCAAATTTAGGATGTACAACACTACCTCTTATATTTATAGGGGAAATACTGCCTACTTTGCACAGAGCAGTAGGTTCTGCAGTATCAGGTGTTATAATATCTATATTATATTGGGTTGCTTTAAAAGCAATTCCTTATTTGTTAGAATGTACAAAAGTTTATGGGGTATTCGCAATTTTGGGTCTATTAATTACTGTATCTGTGTTGATATTATATTTTATACTGCCAGAAACCAAGGATAGAACGTTAGAAGAGATTGATTATTATATTTATAACGGATGTTTTCGAAATGAAGAAAGTATTGATGATATATTTAATATATAATGTTAACTGAAGCCTCCGGTACCGTCTGAAGAGTATTTTTCTTCTTGTCCTATTTCTTCTAAATGTTAACGATAATGAGTAATAATTTTAATTAGATTTTAAATTCAATGATATTCAATGTTTACCATCAGACAGGCTGTATGCTTGTTTACCTTTGTGTAACAAAAAATTGCAGGATGATTTTTTGCTTTATTTATTTTTATATAAACTGGTCAACTAATAAGAATAATGTTTTCTTTATGAATATGCTTACCTAATTTAAGTCGAATTATTGACGGGTGACAGTGGTGAGATGTCACCGATCTTTTTTCATTATATAAATAAAGTGCTCGAATAAGAGCGCGAATGCCAATGACATATTTATTTTCCAAAAAAAAAAAATGCATCTGCATAATACAAACAGACAAAACAATCAACCGATCTGACTTTATCCATATTTATCATCACTCATTGCTACTTTGCAACTGTATACTTATTACTAGGGGGAGAGGAGATTGTTAGTAACGGGAACTACAAGTCCCATTGTTAGTAATATAGGATATAGTCGGTTCGACCTCCACGTGCTCTCCCTTGAAAACCATCGTACTAAATTCCAGGTGTATTCATCACGATGGGCTAACTGACCTGCCCTTTCATTATCATCTATTATCTCTCATTGGTGCCCTGCCAGCGAATACCATTAGCGCAGGCGGGTATAGCATTCCATTATCATCCATAAAAAAGACAATATAGGATGTGTAGCAATGGGAAAAACAAAATGCACCCAGTACCAACTGGAAACCATCATGGCGAATTTAATTATATTTTGCTAACAGGCCTGACTTGATTCTCATCTATTATCTCTCACTGGTAGTCTGCCACCGTCTACCGATAGTGTTGGTCGGGTTACCACTCCATCATCACTTATTAAATACATATACCTATTATAGACGGGGATAAGGACTCCATTTTATTCCCGTATAAACCTACTTACATGACAAATTATAAATCGCAATATCTATCTATCTATTTATATATATGTATTCTATAAAAGTTGTAGCACTTCAGTTGCCTGCTAACGACATGCTTTCTAACTGCATTGGGTTGACTGAAAGAGATCTCTGTCAGAGATAAGTCCACCCTTACTCACAATATTTATAAATGCATTAACAAAGAGACTCATGTTTAAACCACGTTGTTTTAGGAAGTTTTCAAGGTGTTTAATGAATAAAATCGCTTATTGTAATATTTTGATTTTATTTCACACATAGATTCGTGTGGTTGCAAAGTTGCTTGCTTATTAATGATCATACCATAATCAATAGGATTCTTTTTACAACACAGAGGGCAAACGAGCATGCGGCTCACCTGATGGTAAGTGACTACCGCCGCCCATGATCACCCACAACACCAGCAGCATTGCAGGTGTGCTGCCGGCCTTTTAAAAAAGAATATGCTCTTTTCTTGAAGGTTACGATGTCTTATGTTTGTTTACTTCACCAAAAGTTGTATATCACTTCCCATATGATGACCACGTGAAATCACAGTTAAATCTATGTTTTGGTTTTCGTTAACATCCTTTATTTTTTTCTTTGTCAAATATCTAAAAAAGTCACTAGATTCAAACCCTTCACTTTTATTGTAGGTGCAGTTATTTATCTCTTGTTTTTTCTTATCTTAAGTATGTTTCAATAAACAATAAAAAAAACCTCATTCTGCAAGTCTGGTCAAGGACCTTCGTAAATAATATTGGCTTAGAATCCCTTAACATTGGAAAGAGATTTCTCATATACACCTAGGCAATTTTGTTTAATTTGCACCAAAGAACAGTTTTGTAATGTACGAGCAAATCTTTGGTTTTAAATAATTATAGAACTTTGAGAATTAATCAAATCGAAATTGTAAAAAATACTTATATCTTAGATTATATAGACAGAGCACCGAGCCTCAAAACGGGTCAACTTTTTGTCAGCTAATTGTCAAATTAGCTGACTCGTTTTTTTTATCAGTGTTCTATTTACTTACGCACACAATGTATCTTCACGTATCTATATTTAATTATTTAAAAATAAAATGAGTTATTGCGTATTAAAAAGGTGCAGAATTTATAACACAAAATAAATATAGAAGTTATAAAGGAATCACTCATAACTATTTGTCACGCAAAATTGTATGAAAAAGTTGACCCGCTTTTCTCGAAGCATTTGTATGGACACAGGTGTATGGTTTTACCTTGATGTGTTATTTACAAATGACTTATTTAATTGGTTTTTCTACGTCTGAAGTCCATTCATACGAAATAACGGACAAGAGGCTAATGAGCAAGAGTACATAACAATTTTAGTTAAATTAATATTTCTACGGCGAGGCTGTTAAAGTGAGAGATGTCAGCTTACAGCCTTGAGGAAGCAAATAGTGTCAATAGTGTCAAGGATTATTTGATCAAAATTGTAGTTAGATATTATTAATTATAAATAATAATTACTTTTAATCTACTTCCTCGTTCACTATTTTTCTATTGACATCATCCTCAAACTCATGTTCATTTTCATTTTTTTTATAAAAAATATCTTCTATCTCTTGCAAAGTTTTATTTCTAGTTTCTGGCAGTATAAAATATAAAACTGCCAAACCTATCGCTGTAAGTATACCAGATATTGCAAGGGTCCCATATATTTTTACCTGAATCAACAGATAAGGAAATACTTTCAAACAAACCATTAACGTACCACATATAAATGTACCTAATATACAATGACTGGTCACTCTATGTTCTAATGGGAACATTTCTCCAGCCAGTGACATTGGTATTGGACTGCAACCTAAGTTTACTAAAAATAAATAAATTACAAAAAGTAATATAACAATCCACGCCCTATCATTTGATATGATGCCATTTGAAGCTAAGGCAAGGTAAATGCAAGTAACAAATAATGTAATTAATGCTGCGGATCCAGTGGAAAAGAGGAGAGTTCGAATGTTAACGATTCGAACTAATATAGAGGAACATATAGCACTTACTATAATAATCAAATCCAAACATAAGACGTAATAATTATTACTTTGAGATCCCATAATTTCCGCTATAAATTGTAAAGCATATGTTGGGAATGTATGCCTGCCGGACATTTCCATTACAGCCACAGCACAAATGCAAATTAGAAGAGGTTTCAAAAAGTCCCTTTTACTGATTTGTCTCCGCAATTCAGTGAGGTGTATACGGTTGACAGTTCTCTTGTCGTTTAACAATCGTTCCCTTTGCGCTTTGATCAATTCTTTGATCTCACATTTTGAACTATTACTTCTCCCTCTAATCCAGAAGAAAGCGTCTTCGCAATCTTCGAACCGTTTCTTTGAGGCGAACCATGCGGGACTTTCGGGCCACATGAACGCCATCACGAAGGACACGATAAAAGGAGTTAGTATCATAATAGCGGCTATTCTCCAATGAAAATGGCCCCCTAACGCATGAACTATTGTAGTTCCTGAAGTGAAAAAAACCGTTTTTAAATTTAAAATCATACACCTGTATTTTGGATGGACGCATTCTGCGATGGCAATTATGCTTATTGCTTGTATTCCTCCAACCGTTATTCCGATTAATATACGACCAATGAGAAGTGATATATAATTTTTGGCAAAATACGTTAATAATAAGCTGGCAAAACTTGGCAAGTGTGATAGTATATATACTGGTTTTCGACCAATACTGCCCATAATGTAAGACGCTATTAGATGTCCTAGTAGTATGGCTGGGGCAAAGGATGCAGCTGAAAATAAAATAAACAGTGTTAGAATGTTAGAGACGAGGCATGCAGTCAGGCTCATGCTCGCGTCCTAGTCACTCAATGAGTAGGGATATATATTATTACATCTTCATATTTAGAACTAACAGAATTTTTCATTGTGCCTCCCACCAAATTGTTTATTACTCCTCTCCATCCAAAGGTTGCCTGGAAGAGATCTCTTTTAGCGATAAGGTCGCCCATTGTTTTCTCATTGTGATTATTTCTTGTAATTGTTTATATTTATAACAAGTTTACTATCGTAATCTTTTGGAGGAAACAATAAAGAGTATTTATCTATTTATCACTCATGACTAAGGATCACGAATTGATTCCGAAACTAGTCTAGCTTTTTAGATCTAAGTGCACGTAAGTTAAACCGGTAGTTATTAAATTAAAATAGAACGTTAGAAGTGGAAATTGTTTGCTTGTTCACATCTATATCAATAAAGATTAAATTGAAGTACACGCTCCTACAGTATTTATTAATAATTAAGAAAAAATCTTTGCTATAAAAAATGAATGCTATATAGCATTAAGCTCGCCATTTGTACAAAGTATTATTGTGCAATAAAGAATAAATAGACATTTATGTCTACATAGAAATGCTTCGAGAAAAACGTGTCAACTTTTTCATACAATTTTGCGTGACAAATAGTTATGAGTGATTCCTTTATAACTTCTATATTTATTTTGTCTTATAATTTCTGCATCTTTTTAATGCGTAAACACTCATTTTAGTCATTAAATAATACGTCAAGATACATTTTATGCGTAAGTACATAATATAGAACGCAGATAAAAAAAACCGAGTTAGCTAATGTGAGAATTAGTTGATAAAAAGTTGACCCGTTTTTGAGGCTCTAATGCTCTATCTATATAATCTAAGGTTTTTTTTGATGGGTGAAAATGGTATGGTAACCCCGCCTGCGCTAACGGGATACGCTGGCGGAGCACCAGTGAGGGGTGATAGATGAGAATGAAAACAGACCAGTTAGCCCATCATGATGAATTCATCAGGAATTAACCAGGATAGTTTCCAGGGGGAACCGCGAGGAGGTCGACCTGGTTAGGTATATTGCTAGCAATAGGATTCTCAGTCTCCATTACTAAGAATCCCCCCTATAATCTAAGGTTGTATCTAATAGTTTCTAATAGCTATAGAAGATTTTGAAGTAATATTTTTGAAGTAATATTTTTGAAGTAATATTAAGCCAAATAATAATAATTTGGCGTAAAATGGAAACAGAGGAGAAATTAAATGATCTTTATTAAAACAGATTTGTTTACAAGTTCTATTAAATCGTCATACTGCTGATATTGGAAACTTGTTAGATTGGAAACTGCAGATAAGTAGAAAAAAAAATGCAAAACAAACTTCACGTATTTTTTTAGAAACGACAATTTTCGTAATAGGATTTTTTTTTCTCTTTTCAAACCCAAGGACGTCAGTGAATAAATGAAATGTACATATGTAGGTAAATTGATCATAAAATTAGTTACTTAGCCATGACATAGAAGATGGATCAATTTTAATGGGCGAGTCTGGTACACTGAGCGCCGCTATCAGTATGGACATGTATCCAAGCACAAGGCCCAGTCCCACATTCACGATTAAAACTGTCGATGCCATCCACATCTGGAAAATAAAATGGTATTTAAAGCGACTTACAAAATGCATATAACTAGATTTTATTAAGTTCTCCGTAACTTTATGTTCGGCAACGCCTAAAAAGTTGCTATATATACAGGGTGTCCGGTAATGAATGGATAACCTTGAAACGTCTTATAGTTCAACTTATGGCCGTCCATACCATAAGTAGCCATATATATAAGTAGTACATATATACCATAAGTAGTACCTTTGTTATCTTTATTTTAAAGAAATCTTCTTTTCTATCTTATTTTACTGTCCTGATCACAATGACCAGAAATGAATGAATTCTATTGGTTTTTTGTTGTTTTATTATTATACACTACTTGTGCTGATAGATTTAAAGTTAATAGTATGACTAGCTATGCAGTTTTTTTTTAATACGCAAACTAATTTATTTTTAAATAATATGTAAAAAAAAATTTTTAATCAAAGTTCAAACCGTCTAGGGTATAAAAAAAATGTATGAATACATGGGTGACCAATCATTTTAAAATAATGTCTGTTTCAAGTAGATTTTACAATGGTACAATTCATAACTGTATCTATCATAAATAGTGATTTATTGCCATTAATGTAAAAAAGGAGAAAATTTGACTAAATAACAAAATTTGTAATATGGAAACATTTTTTTTAAATTGAAATTTATCTCATCATTGGAAAATAATAATAAACAACATTTAATATTTAAAATAATTTATTTTACATAAATTTACAATAAATGCTCAAATTGTTTCCTCCCACTTTTATGCATGCCCTGCATCGTCGGATAAATGCGCTTTTGAGCAGTCTTGTGTACCGTCGCTCGTTTATTTTCGATGCGGCTGCTCTGATACGACTGCGTAATTCGCCCAAAGACTGTATAGGCTTACGGTACACTTCCTCTTTGATGCAGCCGTAAAAAAATCCAATGGATTTAAATCCGGTGAACGTGGAGGCCACAGAATTGGCCCTAGGCGCCCGATCCATCTGTTTGGATACCTTCTATTTAAATATGCACGAACCGGTACAGCATAGTGCGCAGGACAACCGTCATTTTGCAGCCAATACGTCATTTTTAATTTTCTTTAAAATAAAGATAACAAAGGTACAACTTATGGTATATTTTGTTTCGTATTTTTTTAGGACGGCCATAAGTTGAACTATAAGACGTTTCAAGGTTATCCATTCGTTACCGGACGCCCTGTATATATATATACATATATATATATATATATATATATACACACACATATATATATATATATATAACATAAGCATAAGACAGACGCTGCTGCTCATCTCTCACCGTCCCTTAGTCACCTTTTATGACATCCACGGAAAAAGACGGGATGGCCTGTTTTATACTGGGACCACACGGATACATACAATATGGATATAGAATATGTAAAACGGAGCCATTTTGAGGCCCTCAGGATCAAAGGCCCGTTTGTCTCCTACTGGCAGAGAATTATTAGAAAGTAAAATATTAGGTCCGATTGCTACCGAATTTCGACTAAAAGCAATACAAATAAATCATGTATATTAAATATAATATATTTTTAATTGTTACAATAATCAATTTACTGTAATGTAGTATGAAATTATATTAAATTAGCTATAACATATTTTTCACCACATCTGCCCTTCATACGCTTTCTATTTTTACCCAATGGTTAGCTGGTAGAGAATGCCATATGGCATTAAGCTCGCCATTTGTACAAAATTTTATTGTGCAATAAAGAATAAATAAATAAATAAAACATAGTTGAGTTCTTCGAGTAAATCATTAACACTGTATTTATTTAGCTATTTCTTTACTTATGTAAATAAAAAAATAATATAGTTTAATCTCACCTGCTTCCAAAAAGGGGAAACACAATTCAGTATGTTACACATTTTATTAATTTAAATAGATTGAGTTTTAAATACTAGATTGAACCCATTATTGGTATAGTTTAAACTGCCATATTTCAGAAATGAAACAATAGCGACTGTAATTCTATTTCGGTCGTGTAACAAGTGTGTAACAAGTGTGTAACCCTCCCACGACGGCTATGGTCTTTGAGAATGTAAAATTAAAAAAAAAGAACTTTTATGTTTTTTTTTGCCTCATCATCATTTCAGCCATTGTCCGTCCACTGCTGGACACAAACCTCTTTTTTTTTTTTTTATACCACTGAGGTGGCAAACAAGCATACGGCCCACCTGATGGTAAGCGGTTACCGTAGCCTATGAACGCCTGCAATACCAGAGGTATTACGCGCGCGTTGCCGACCCTGAAGAAACCTCTTTACCCCCTTTTGAAGAACCCCATGCTGTAGTCTCTCGGGAAAACCTCGGCAGGGAGCTCATTCCATAACCTGAGTGTTCGTGGGAGAAAGCATCTCTGAAACCGCGTTGTACGCGACCATTTAGGCTGTAAGGTATGAGGGTGAACTCCCCCATAGACTGTCATAAAGTACGGTCCTGAGCTACCTGCATCCACTGACTCCCTGCAATACCTTTCAGGTCGTCACTCCATCTTTTTTTTTATACAACTTAGAATAGCAAACAAGCTGACGGCTCACCTGATGGTAAGTGGTAACCGTCGCCTATAGACATGAGCAGTACCATGGACATAACAGAGTATACTGTTTCGCCCAGGATACCCCCCATCTAGTGGTGGGTCGTCCTACACTGCGTTATTTTGCATAGACAAGGTTTTTTTTAGTGGGTCATAATGGAATGGTGTCCCTGCCTACGCTATCGGTATACGCAGGCGAGGCACCAGTGAGGGATGATTGGTGAGAATGAAGTCAGAGGGCCTATCATGAAATGTTTTTCGAAATTTCGGATCCGAACGAAACAAAAATTTGATGTTAAAATTACATGATACGTACCGTTTAAAAATATTAAAAATGCTAAAATATCGTTCCTTTGAACTGTAATGGTAGGAATTATGACAAACGAAATGTTGAGCTCCATTTACAGGGTCGATTTCGGCAAGAAACAAAAACACGAAATTGAGCGCGAAAATTTCATTTCTTGGTAGACTTCCAGTTCAGTTAGCCCATCGTGACGAATTTCGCAATGGTTTCCTGGGGAACTGCGTGGAAACCTAATAGTGTATATTGCTAGCAATGGGACACTTAGATCTTATTATTGACACTCTCTTTCCCCCTACGCGTAAACAAGGTTGCTTGCTGATTTAATGAACAAATATTGTAATGAAATAAAATGAATTCATTTTATTAGAATAATATTATAAAAAGAAATTAATTGATAGTTTATAATGAATAAATTCAAAAATTACTCAACTTATTTTGAAATATCTTGCTAGAGAGCTACAATACCAGCGCGTAATATAGGTGTATGTTTTTTTTTCGCAAATTCTATGTATCCATGCCAAGCCGTGCCGGACTGTTAGTATATAAAACTTTTAAAACTTCTCTCAAGCCTAACTGCGGTTGCCAACCCACCTGTCAAACGTGGCAATTACTGGTAAAACCCCCCAAGGCTTATGTTCAGTAGCGGACGATTAAAGCCTGATATGATGATGGTTATTGCGTAAATTTCATTTCTTGATCGTTTATTAAATCGCATCTTCGCTAAGTTATTTTTTTTTTAAGTTTTTTTTAAATTCAACGTCGTGTTGTTCGCCAAATTCATCCAAAACGACAAAAACACTAATGCTGTCTGGTAGCGAATAATCCGTATTTATTTCGAATCTTTGTTTGACCAGAAAACTGAATATTTTTATGGTTATCCCTTTCAGATCTGAACGATACGCGCGTGAGTTGTAACTTTAAAAAATTCTAAAACCGCGCGCAATTCATTTTTACGCACGAAGCTGATATAACGTGATAGTGAGATTCTAAACCAGCCAATAAGAAATCATATTAGCGGTTAGGTGGTGCAGTAGTCTCGTGCGTGGCGGCAAGATGGCTTGGCTCCAAAACACGAAAATATATTTAATCTGAAAGAAAAAAAATCTTCGGTCTAAAAGGGTTATGCGATATTTTGTATGTTGTGCCCTTGTCTTACCTGACGTGCAAAATGTCAAGAATAATGACAATGTACAGTGTAAGTAAACGCACTTTTCACTTACAAACATAATTTGTTTTTTTTTTACAACACAGGGGGCAAACGAGCATGCGGCTCACCTAATGGTAAGTGACTACCGCCGCCCATGATCACGCACAACACCTACGGCATTGCAGGTGTGCTGCCGGCCTTTTAAAAAGGAATATGCACACATACATATTATATACATAATTTGTTTTATTTTATAATAATAATAATTTTTGTTTGTAAGAGAAATTTGGGTAGTTTTGTTCAACAATTTTGGTATTTGTAAACTATAAAAAATGATAAATGCAAGAAGTCAGTGTTTACAGGTGGCTCAGGACTGCTCCTTATAACAGACTAGGGTTGGTGCCTTGTTCAGGAGTGGACGGATAAAGGCCAATATGATGATTACGAAACTATAAAGAGGTAGCAAAATAGCAAAACAGAGAATGGGAGAAGATATAGTAAGATAAACTAAAAGCAGGAATTGAAGATGTGATCTTTGTTTTTTATCGTGCAATTTGTATTGATTAGGAGATATAATATTTGAAGTTTAGGTAAACAAAAAACTATCTGGCAACCCTATGTTGGGAATAATTTGTGAGATACAAGCTCAATCGAGAAATCAATTTAAAAAAATATATTTTTTAAATTGATTTCATTGTTGTATGGTAACCGATAATCTTTAATAATTTAATTTTCTTTTAATTTAATTAAAAAAAGCATTATTCATACTATTTAGATGGTGTTTGGAAAATTGTGACTTGTTAAATTTAAAGAAGCAAATAAAGTGTTACTATTTGTTACTGTAGAGAAAATCGTGAAACTGTGACAGATTTCAAGCAACCAAATGCATAAATGATCTATCATATATAAAAATTTAATTTATTTTTAACAAAATAATAACAATTAACATATTACAAGTGATCTCCGAAATAATACAAAGTTTTATGTTTTGGCCAGAGAGATTGCTAGAGGGTTGACGTCAGGCAGGTGGCCGGTCGTAAGACTAGAAGCCAATTCTAATAATTCCAAATATTACGCCGACCCCAAATAATAATTGGGGTAATGGTAGGAAATCACCATCATAATGGTCATTGAGACCGAATGCTATTATAAATTTTGACGCACGTATAGAAAGGTTAAATTTTATATATACCTCATATTGTTTTTACAGCTGTTAAAACCACCTGTTTGAATGTCAACAACATAATTTTTATCGACGAGAGCAGCAGTTTGAAGTAAGGTGGTATAATTCTCATTGTAGTCATATTTTGGGGAATAGCTTTGATAACTAGCGGTTTTATGGGGCACCAAGATCAAGGGGGGCGCGAGGTTTAAAAGGGGCGTCGAGGTCCAAAAGGGGCGACGAGATCCGTATCATAGTAAAAGGCGGTGACTGTGGTTTCTGACTTTAACTGCAAGCTACTGTCTACGTTGACATTGAGGATGTCTTATGGAATGGCTTGCATTTAGCCAGAGAGAGATGCTTGGTTACTGTCAAAGAAACAGCTAAATAAATACGAAGAATCTTTTATTTGTTTAAGAGGAGTTCAGGAAAAAACCCATTCAAGAGTTGTTAATTTTCACTGCCATATTTCACATGCGAAACTAGTGGTGAGCTCGGATCTTGGTGTTTCTCGTAACATAAGGTAGTTGTTAGCAATTGGTGTGATTGTGTGCCATTTGTTTTATTTATTTATTACTAGTTTTGTGGATGCTACTTCTTACACGATTTCAGAAGTAGGAAAATTTATTAAATAAATTACTTCTAGATGGGTTATCAAGACAAAATATATACCAGATTTAAAGTTAGACCTTTAAGAACATAACTATGATAACGACATCAAATTTGGTGTGGTCGTTATTGCGTATGTCAAAACAACATAGACAGACAAAATTTCTAAAAATGATTGTTATGGCTTTTATTAGTCTTATCCATAATATATTTTTTTCTTAAATACGAGTATCTCCCATGTATAGACATCGTCTGACTACAATTTTATTTATTTATTGCATCAACTAGTTGAGCTTTACAACCTAAATCTCTGAACACGAATACTCTGTGGTCATTAGACGAAACTCCTGCAAGTTGGAGGCAAATACATCCAATTGCGGATACTGGCTTTTTTTTTTATATAACTTAGAATAGCTAACAAGCTGACAGTCCACCTGATGGAAAGTCATTCGGCAGTTTCAATGCAAGATGATAGGGCAGCTTGCTTTTTTTTTTTTATGCAACTTAGAATGGCAAACAAGCTGACGGCCCACCTGATGGAAAGTGGTTACCGTTGCCTATAGACATGAGCAGTACCATGGACATAACAGAGTATACTGTTTCGCCCATGATACTCCCCATGCGTTGCCACTCCTGAGGACTCAGGTGTTATTCCTCTGTACCCAGTAAATTCACGCCATATCCCACCCTTCAAACCGAAACACAGTCATGCCAACACAACTGCTTCACGGTGTGTTGCTTGGCCAACTCTGATCTTCTTAACAGAATATTTATTATTTATTTTATATACAAGTACAGCTATTCAATGACAGAAATACGAGTGAGATGAAGCTATCTAAGAAGACAACTTTTGCTTTTAATCTCCCTATGGTACTTACCTTCTTATGATTACAATGTATGGGTGTAAATGGAATGATAAACCCTCCTGCGTTAGCGACATATGCTGGGAAGGCACAGTGAGAAATGATAGATGAGGTTAAATGCAGATAACTGATCTGCATTTAACTTCGTGACCATCGTGATTAATTGTACAAAAATTAACCACGATGGTTTCCAGGGGGAACTTAAGTGGAGGAAGGCAGTGGGAGATTGACCTGATAAGGGTATAGGGTTTGTTAGCAATGGTACTATTAGGCTTCATTATTTACAATCCCTTCCCACCAAGAATACCATGTAACTGACACTTGTGCATTACTCTGTTTGTGGATATCAGAAAGAGTAACTCCTTTATTGGTATTCGATTTATTAAGGATGTTTTATAGATGTTTAATAAAGAAAACATATTTATATAATAGTTTGATTTTATTTTCAATATCCTTTATAGAATCGTATTACATTCTTGATTGGTATCGTCAGCTTTATTAGAAATGGTGTTGTCGAAACATCTACTCATACTGCTAGTGCACTCACTGATCATCAATAAGTTGATCTTACAATGAACTGCGGTATGGTTATTAATTTACATTGATTTTTTTTGTTAAAGATAGTCAAAATGATCACCATCCATTTGGAGTTAAGTATTTAATATGTTCTAAATATGAGTGACGCCATCACAGCAATTTATATTGTTTTGGAGCTCGTCGTCTTAATAATCTGCAATTATATGTAATTTCTCATAGGACAACTACGTGGTATTGGATTCACAGTTGAATTTGATTTGTTGATCTTCTTTTAGGAAATTAATATCATCGAGAGTTAATAGTTTTGATGATAAATTAGGCGTCTCATATTTTTTGGAACAGCTCGTATTTGGTTCGAGGATCCTGTTTTATAGCTTCATTTTAGAAAACACGCGAAATATGCGGAAAAATCCTTGTTTCAAAGTATATTGACAAAAAAACAGTAAATTAACTTCGACTGTTTATTAAAGTATGGTATATAAACACTACACTAAAAATAATATTGTGAGTGTATAAGAGGTAAAATTGAGGATTTAATAAAGCTTATATACAAGTCTATTTGAATAAAGATTATTTCTATTCTAGTCCTATTCTCTGATGTTAAAAAATTGAGGTAATATAGAGTTTTATTATTATTTATAAGATGTGATCATTTTAAATTTCTTCGTCATTTACAATTTTCAGATCATAATCATCATTTAAATCATTATCATTTTTATTTTTTAGATTTCTATTGTAAAAATAATCTTCTATCTCCTGTAAAGTTTTATTTTTAGTTTCTGGTAGGATAAAATATAACGCTACTAACCCTATAGTTGTGGATGTACCAAAAATGGCAAAGGTTCCATATGCTTTAATTTGGACTAATAAATAAGGAACTATTTTTAAATTAACCATTAAAATAACACATGCGAATGTACTTAACAGGGAAGTAGCAAGAACTCTATGTTCTAACGGGAATATTTCTGCAGCTAGTGTTATCGGTATTGGAGTGCAACCTAAATTTGATAAAAAGAAGTAAACTATAAAAAGCAAAATAACTATCCATGGTCTATCATTTGATATTACATCTAATGAAACTAAGAAAAGATAGATACACCCTAGAAATAATGCAACTAATGCTGAAAATCCTGTACAAAATAAGAGAGGCCGAATGTTAATGATTCGAACCAATATAGAGGAACATATAGCACTTACTATAATAATCAAATCTAAACTTATGGTGTAATAATAATAATACTGTGTTTGAGATCCAACTATATCAGCCATAAACTGTAAAGCGTAAGCCGGGTAAGTATGTCTACCAGACATTTCCATGACAATTACAGCACAAACTCCAATTAGAAAAGGTTTCAAAAAGTCACTTCTCGTGATTTTTTTCAATAATTCAAGAAAATATATACGGTTTGTAAGTTTTTTATTATTTGATAACCGTTCCCTTTGTGCTTTGATCATCTCTTTGACTTCCCACTTCGAACTATTGCTTCTTCCCCTGATCCAAAAGAAAGCATCTTTGCATTCTTCGAATCGTTTCTTTGAGGCGAACCATGCGGGACTTTCGGTCCACATAAATGCCATTATGAAAGATAAAATATGGGGAATAAGAATCATAACGGCAGCTCTTCTCCAATGAATATAGTGTCCCAATGCGTGGACTATTGTAATTCCCGAAGAAAAAAAGACTGTTTTGCAGTTTAAAAACATGCATCGGTATTTTGGATGCACGTATTCTGCGATAGCAACTATGCTTACTGAATGTAGTCCTCCGCCTGTGATTCCAAGCAATATACGTGCTATGAGAAGTGTTAAATAATTTTGAGCGAAATATGTCAATAACAAGCCAATAATACCCGGTATATTGAATAATATATAAGCTTTTCTCCGGCCCTGCCAGCCCATAAAGAAACATGATGAAAGTCCTCCAATTATAGCCGCTGGGGCAAAGGGTGCAGCTGAAAAGAAAGTAATTTTAAATTTTTATTGATATGATTTAAACGATTCAGTAGTTTGTCAAAATTAAGACTTAGATTTTAATTCAATAAAGCCAATTACCTAGTTTGAAAGTGAACATTTATGGTGGGGACTTATGATTTAAAAATTTTGAGTTTAGCATGCCAATAAAGCTGGATTCGTACTATCATAAATTTTGAATACATTTTCTTCATTCTTTTAGGGATGTAGCAATCAATAGATGTAAATCGAATAGGGCTTGTGTCAGCCCTGCATTTAGTTTTTGAAGATTGAAGAAGCAGAGTTTAAAATTCTTTGTTTGTTACCAAACAAAACTTGTTTGTATACATACGATTTTACGTTTTAAATTCAAATATTACCAATTTAATATGAATACGAAACATCTTGTCATTCAGTACTCGTATGTGTAATTATTCATAAGTAAAGTCACTTTTTTGCAGATTATAATGTACGTACAACTAATGCATCAAAAAAATTGTTCATCGGATAATTAATGGGAAAATTAATAGTAAAATCATTACCTAACCATGAAATAGAAGCTAGATCAGTTTTAATAGAGGAATCCGGTGCACTTAGTGCGGCTGTCAGTATAGACATGTAACCAAGCACGAGCCCTTGTCCCACATTGAGGAATAGAACGGTAGATGCCATCCATGTCTGCAAAAAAAAAAAATTAAATATGAAAGAGTGTATTTGACAATAATTAAGTGACAATGTGGTCACCTGAGTTCTCAGGAATAGCAACGCATGGGGGTATCATGGGTGAAACAGTATACTCTATTATTTCCATGGTACTGCTCATGTCTATAGACGACGGTTACCACTTTTCATCAGGTGGGCCGTTAGTTTGTTTGCCATTCTAAGTTGTATAAAAAGAAATACCTGCAATAGTTAGTAGTAAAAAACAATATAGAAGAGAACTAGGACCTAAAGGAGTACTTACATGGACAGGGGCATGAATAAGAATTTGTAAAAATAGTTTTGTTATTTCGTGAGGTTATAACACCGGCCGGTACGTAAAGAGTAAAGTGGAACTTTTTTTGACGCTACATAGATTATAGGTTGGAGTAAACAGCAAGTTTATGTTTTTGATGTTATTTTTTTTCCGGATGGGATTACATTTGCATAGAAAATTTCAGAGGGACAGTTTATAACAGTCTCCTTTTATTCATACTAAAATAAGGCTGTGAACTGTCAAAAATTTTAAGTGTTTGAAGTAGGTGCAAAATGATGTGCAATTTTTTTTTCTATATTTCTGTTTAACTTATTATTAACTCATGTCAGGCTTAAACTTGCGTAGAAACAGAAAATTATTTGTAATTGAAAATTTATAGATAAGCTACACGTCAGAAAGAGATGAACGATTTTAGATTTTTTTTTTTATAAAATTTATTTGAGTGATTTTCAGCAAGTGTGACCCTTGTTCAACTTCGGTTAGACCTTTCAAAATTTGCTTTCAATTTTGAGTTCTCAAAAAAGCCGATGTCCTTGAAATATATAAGGAATCATTTTATAGAATACTTATTGCTTACATCAACTTTTCTGAAACCCAAACCAAAGAAGTACGCCGAAATAAAACAGAAATCTCACTTGCAGAAAATGCTCATCTGAGGGTAAATTTAACTGGATTGTTAAAGCTAATAATTCCCAAAGAGGGTTGACGTCAGGCAGGTGGCCGGTCGTAAAACTAGAAGCTAGAACCAAATCTTTTTGTAATATGGATAAAATCATATTACGCCGACCCCAAATGATTGGGATAAGGGTAGGACGATGATGATGTTAAAGCTAATAATAGTAAGAGATTGATCACGTGTAGAAGGGGAATTGTACTGGATTATTACGGTGTAAAACGCACATAATATAATACACACCTGTTTCCAAAATGGGGAAAGACAATTCAACATAATACACATGTTTGCAGTAAATTTCTAGGCATTAGGTACTGACTATAGTTCAATAGTGGATATATTTTTAGAATAGTTTTGAATACATTGTTAGAACTGAATCGATAATGTATGTAAAATGTATTTAAATACAATTAAATTAAATTGATAATGTTTTCTTATCACTGTAGTGAATTACATTTTACTTATTCTACATCAGCACATTGATGCTTGGTTTACGAGACTGAAAATATTTGGACGATCTGTGAGGTGTAATTTTGGTATAAGAATAGATAATCCGGATAGAAGTGACATTTAAGTACTTTCCTTTGTTTGGGATTTTTTTTAATGGACTATAATGGAATGGTAACGCTACCTGCGCTAATGGTATATGACTTGTGCCCCTTCAGCGGAGCACAAGTCAGGAATGATAGGTGAGAATAAAAAGGCAGGTCAGTTAGCCCATCGTGATGAATATCACCTGCAATTCGGCACGATGGTTTCCACGTGGAAGTCTACCTGATAAGGTATATTGCTAGCAATGGGGCTGATAGTCCGCGTTATTAACAATCCCCCCCCCCCTGCTAATCTGTTTAGTGGAGTACATTTTGTCGACGTATATTCGTTGAATAAATCATTTATTTGACAGTGGGCTGGTCACATAGCTCGACAACAGATGGGGAAAGGAAAGGTTCTTGAGTGGCGACCGCGTACGGGCAAACGCAGGGTAGGACGACCCCCACTAGATGGAGTGACGACTTGAAATGTATTGCAGGGAGTCAGTGAATGCAGGTGGCTCAGGACCGTTCTTTATGACAGTCTACGGGGGAGGCTTATGTCCAGCCTGTATGTATGAAATGATGACGACGATGATTCGACATAGGTACACCATAGGCTATGATTGATTGATTTTGCTAAATGATTTTTACAATGTGATAGTTCTATTACTTATACTTTGGCAGTATTTGCACAATTATCGATACAGGAAATTCTGTTACTTATTGTATGCTTAGACAAATTTTGCAATGATTATGTAGTAATTACGAATAATTGGATACTAGGTAACTTGGTATGGAATGTTGCCATTCTTAACAACTAAATTCTATTTATCATAATGACTTTATGTAAGTTAAAACAGCTATACAATAATTCAAAATCTGACGATATAATGAAATTTCATGTACCTGTATTTTTTTTTATTTAACTGTTTACTGAAGGTTTATTCATGTAAGTTAGTATATAAATTATCCTATGCGCTATGTTAGGATATAGCCCATTTGTGTACCAAATTTCATTCAAATTTGTCCAGTAATTTTTGCGTGATAGAGTAACAAACATCTAAACCATTATTATAATATTTCGAATTTATAATACTAATAAAAGAATACAGTTACGTTTCCAAGTCGTTTGTTTGTGCCAGATTTGATTCTACCAGAGGAGAATTATACCGCTTTTACTAGAGGCAGACTTTGTACAAAAGTCGTTTGCTTGAGCACCTCTGTACCATTCGTGTTTCTACCGTGAAGCAGTTGTGTTTGCATGGCTGTGTTTCGGTTTGAAAGGTGAGATATGGCAGTGAATTTACTGGGTACAGAGGAATAACACCTGAGTCTCTAGAAATGTCAACTCATGGGGGGTATCATGAGCGAAACGGTATACTCTGTTATGTCCATAGTACTGCTCATGTCTATAGGCGACGGTTACCACTGTCCCTCAGTTGGGCTATCAGCTTGTTTGCCATTCTAAGTTGCATAAAACAAAATGCGACGAGTATCTACTAATATGCTAACTCACCTGATGGTAAGTGACTACCGCCGCCCATGGTTACCCACAACACCAACGGCATTGCAGGTGTGCTGCCGGCCTTTTAAAAAGGAATATACTCTTTTCTTGAAGGTTATGTTGTCGTATCGGTTCGGAAATACTGCTGCTGGATGTTGATTCCAACGAGTGGTTGTGCGTGGGAGAAAGTGCCTTGAAAAACGCACGGTGGAGGACCGCCACTCGTCCAGATGGTTGGGATGAAATGAAATATCGTATTCGTATAGTTCTTATTATTGACAACATAAAACCAAGAGGCTGATTAAGTACACGCTACATTGTTGGACAAGTTTAAGGCGGTGTACAGGTGACCCGGATCTGAGGGTAAGTTCGAATGAACCCGAAGTTCTGGGTAGCCTAAAGCTAGAGCGAAATCCTACTACATAGATTCAGGTCAGTGGTTTCTACTTTCATTATCCTCATTTATTCATAAATTTCATACAATTGTTATAATATATAATACAGTTTACTAGCAACGGTAGATTAGTTTCCATTTTTTACCATCTCATTACACGAACAGTTAACATACATACGCATAGAAATCTTCAACTGTTTTTTAAAAACAGCGATCTGAATAATCTTAACACTAGATACAAATACAAGCTTGCTGTACCGAAGTATCGTTTAGAAAAAGTTAATAGGTATTTTATGGGAACGGGCATTAAATGTTATAATAAGATACCGAAGGATATTTTGGATTTGCCTTTTAATTAAACTAAAACTGTTATTAAAAACACTTATTGAACAAAGCCTATTACACTCTGAACGATTACTTGAATGACATGTGAATGACACGTGCATGGTGTTAGTCGATCATGCACGGGCTTTTTAACGGCCATGTAATTTAAAACATAGTACATTTAAATAAATACACATAATGTTAACAGAGATTTAAAAGAGTAACTGTTGAGTTTCTTGCTGGTTCTTCTCAACAGATAACACCTTACCGAACCGTGCAGTAGATTTAAAAAAAATTACGATTTAAAAGTACTTGTAAACAAGTCTATTTAAATAAAGATTATTTGAACTTGAATATGTATATTGTTTTGTATTATTCTTTAAGTGGTACAATAAAGACTTACATTAGTTTTATTATTATTTTTTACGTATTATGTTTTCTTAAATATCTGTGCTGTAATAATGTATGTACAGACACTGTCCGGTTACCATTCTTTATATATATATTGGTATAACCTACTTGAGCACGCTCCCTTAACTGACGCAGTACGGTTATTAAATCTTATATGTAAAATTCTCGTGTCACGGTGTTTGTTACCAAACTCCTCCGAAATGGCTTTACCGATTTTCATAAAATTTTGTGTGCATATTCTAGGTAGGTCTGAGAATCGGCCAACATCTATTTTTTATACCCATCACTGATAAGGGTGACCCACCCCTAAAAAAATTTTTTTTTTATTTGAATATGATTTAGCATTGAAAAATACACACAATTTTTAATTTTCATCGTTTTACGATCAACCCCTGTATTATAATCGCGATTGTTATATTTCGCCATAAGTGGTAAAACAACGTTTACGGGGTCAGCTAGCTAGATAAACATCATTGATATATTTGGTAGTAGCTTGCCAAAGATATTAGAAACGGCTTAGAAATATTTAGAGTCGGGTTAAATACATTTATCATAACTTTGTATGTTAGCACACTAGGTTTATAACATTGATTTGGCTCTTGCTGTTATAATGTTGTAAATATTTAAAAAAAAAACAAATTAATAAATAATAAATAAATGTATGTGCGCAGTTGTTAATTTATTACTCTCCAGTTGTTTATATATATTTTAAATTCACAATTAGACGCGATTACAGGTAAATAGTTTTTTTTTATGCAACTTAGAATGGCAAACAAGCTGACGAAGCCGACTGATCTATAGACATGAACAGTACCATAGACATAACAGAGTATAATCGTAGTATGTCGCTCATGTTACCATTCCTGAGGACTAAAGTGTTATAACTCTGTACCCTGTTCTACAGTTCATATTTGATAAATCTAAGAAAGGCAAAAGTCTCTAAAAACATTAATAACAGTTTGGGAATAAAAATGAAATTATAACCCGAACTTTGCGAATGGTTTCCGTCAGCGGGAGTAGCAAGGACATGGTTTTTACAAGTAGCTACTCTTGCAGTATCTCCAAAGGTTTTAGTACAAATGTCTTCATTTATAAATTTATATATATATAAAGATTGTCTGTAAGAGATTGCCCTAGCGATAAGACCGCCTTTTGTACCTTTATGTGTATATTTCCATCTGTATTTATGTTACTGTATATCACTTGAATTGTTCAATTGTCATTGTAAGGGGGAAAATGGATTGTTAGCCATGGAGTTTGACAGCCCCATTGCTAGCAATATGCCCTATTAGGTCGACCTCCACGTGGTTCCCCATGGAAACCAACGTGAACAATTCTTGTTGAATTGGTCACGATGGGCTAACCGACCTACTTCATTCTCACCTATCATCCTTCACGGGTGCCCCGCCGGTGTATACCGATAGCGCGGGTGGGGTTATCATTCCATCATCATCGATTAAAAAAAAAATTGTCATTGTATACATATTTTTGTTTATGGTGCAATAAAGAGTTAAATAAATAAAATAAATGTAAAAAATCGCCCATGATACCCTTTATGCCATTGCCATTCCTGAAGACTGAGTATAGCATCTAATTTTTATTGCAGACTTTTCGATGTGTGTTATGTTGGTAAATCCCGATTGTGAATTAAAAATAAATGTATGTGCGCAACTAAAATTCAAATGCATTCATAATAATAATAAAGTTTCTATTGTGTAACATCCCCGGAGACGGTAACGTATGATAATGTGATGAGTTATTACATTACACATACATTATTAACATACATGACACATACATTACTGTCTCCAGGGCCAGGGTCAAGGTCAGGGTGAGATAGTCATCACTGACGACTCTCTCATGGTCACGGTATATTTATTTATTTATTGTTACCTGAAATTTACATACGATTAAACCATAACACAGCTCCTTGATGAAAGATACACAAGTGGGACAGAAGTATGTTATAAACTTTTTTTTTACAACACATGGGGCAAAAGAGCATATGGTTCACTCATGTGGTAAGTGACTACCGTCGCCCATGATCACCCACAACACTATAGGCATTGCAGGCGTGCTGCCGGCCTTTTAAAAAGGAATATGCTCTTTTCTTGAAGGTTACAATGTCGTGTCGGTTCGGAAATACTGCTGCTGAAAGTTGATTCCAAAGAGTGGTTGTGCGACTAGATTAAAAGATGGATTTAGGAAATAAAAGTACAGTATATATCATTAATAATTTATTATATAACTTAATTAAAATATCACTATAAATTTATTACAATAATGATAATAAATAATCATTGAGTATATAAATTATATCAAAACTAGAACATTTTACATTTAAACAAATATTTTGGAATTTTTAACGTGTTTTTAGAATTATATTCTATATAAATATGCTACTGGATATAAAAAAAAAATACTGTAAGATCATTATAGACGAATACAGTAAGTCATAAAAGGCGACTAAGGTAAGTCATCGAGGGATGGGCAGCAGCGTCCCTCTTAAAACATCACCAAAGTCTAACTGTGGTCTCCTTGCCTGCCAATTACTACGTGTAACTATTGGCAACCTCCTCCCCCCCCCCCCAAAGAGGGAGACCTATGTTCACCAGGAGACAGTTAACGGCTGATATGATGATGATGATGATGACAGTAAGTTTACTAAATTATCGATAGCCAGTATCCTGATTATTATTCTAGCAACACAAATATGGCATCTGTATTTGTAGTAGTATATTATATTTTCAATTAAATAATTTCATTATACCAAATTATAAGTTTTGACCTTAGATCTAAGAGATCTAAGAACAAAGAATTTCATAGAAGGAATGATAAAATCAAAATTGTAAATCATATGGTTGCCTCTTTCCTTCTTATGCAAATATAATTAGTAAAAAGAGGATGAAAGATACACTAGCAGTTGTCATTTTTCTCAATTCATAGCAGGCTAGTGTATAGAAAATACCTTGGACTGCCTTTCGAACTAACGTTTCCATTCTGAATGAACTGAAAATCAGAGAGAGATTGTCGTCAACTGTTCGTATACGAATTCTCAAATACTTCGGCCATATCATCCGGAATGAAGATTGTATGGAACGTTTAATTGTCCAAGGAGCGGTACAAGGCAAACGTTCTCGGGGAAGATCGCCAACGCGATGGACTGACCTCGTCAAAACGGCCACACAGAAATCTATTGTGGAATGCTCTCGCTCGGCGGCGAACAGAAGTAGATGGAGACATATTGCGAGAACCTCAATTGCGAAGGAGAGCCTCACCGACGATCCACCGTCATTGTGAAAACCACGACCACTCTGCCAAGAGTGTCCGACTGAACAGAGAGAGAGAGAGAGAGAGAGAATGAAAATATTTAATATCTCAATTATTTGTCAGTAACAACTTTTACATTACTAGATTATATATTCGACACAGTTTATGTAGAAAGTATGCGAGCAGGTTGTATCTGAATTTGGTAGGGTTATACGGCCGTATAACATTTGTATGTTAACATGGCCTGCTATGAATTGACAATTTTATCACTCCTTCTATGTAATTCTTGTTCTTAAAATTATATGCTTAGATAGAGCATCGAATTTCGAAAACGGATCACTTTTAGTCAGCTAAACTGACATTGGACTGATTAAATTTTGACACATACTTTTTTAAATTAAAACCAAAAACGCCATTTTTGTTTGTGTTGCTAGTAATTGAATTAAAAATCTCCTAAATCAAGTTGATTTTTTAAATTTGAATTTGGAACTATTTTTTCTATATGGTATCATATAAATATTTCCGTATTGTTTACAATTTTATACATATGTATTATTTAAAATGGCGGCCATTTTCAATGATTTAAAAGCGACAACATATTTTAAGTCTTAATTTGATAATATAAATTAAAGTAATCAGTAAAGATAAGCATCATTACGTATCATTGCGTATTGTTTATTCTTTTAAATTCATTCGTAAGAATTTAGTATCGCTTTTATTTTTCAATTTAATCTTACAAAATATTTTTATTTCCTTATTCTGAATAATAAATGTACGTTACGGTAACCCGATTCACGCACACATGGATAATACATTGACCTGTTTCTGGTAAAGAAACTAATATGAGATTATCTACATAATGTAAGGTTTTGACATAGTATTATAAAATAGAATAATGAATGTTAACTTTAGAAGCAAATCCATTATCTAAAATTTTAAATTTTTCGAAAATTGTATATAAAATAGGAGATATGACAAATTATCTTCTTTACACCTGAAGCTATAGGTAAAAATCGATTTTCCAAAATTTTTTTTGTACACTATATTACTAAATACTTTTTTTTTTTATTATTATTTTAAGGGCTTTTACCTTCTTCAGGTACATCAGTACTATCGTACCCTGAACTGATTTCTCAAACAAAACTTTATCTACTGTCCCTAGACGCGAAAAGAGAAGCATTAATGGGCATCAATAATTTACAAAGATGTTCAAAAAACTTATGGTTTTAGTTCAGCTAGTATAAATGAAATAAGACCAACATTAAATATATTTAAGTTAAAGTGGCGCATGAATTCTTCTCTTTCTTTACTAAATACTTTATAAATAACTTAAAAGACTTTATATTTTAACAATAATTATTAATTTTATCAACTGTATGTTAAAATAAATTTTGGTTTTCTAAAAATCTATAATTTATTATTTTACACGTGGCCGTGTGGTCCCGGCATAGAATAGGCCACCCCTTCCTTCCCATGGATGTCGTAAGAATCGACTAAGGGAGGACGAGAAGGGCAGCAGCGTCTAAAGCCTGACTGCGGCTGCTAATCCGTCTGCCAAGCGTGGCAACTACTGGCAAAACCCCCCAAGGGGGAGGCTTATGTTTAGCAGTGGACAGTTAAAGGCTGATATTATATTGTTTAAATTTATGTTTACATGCTGTATGGAAATTTAATAAAAATATAATTTGATTTTAGTATCATACATATCTAGAGATTTATTTAGCCGCTCTTAGCGACCGACTGACTGGGAATTTGAAGGAAGGAGTGAAATGAAGTGTTCACTAGTGTTTTATCTTGAGTATCATAGGTTTTAGATACTATCAGTTGATATCTATATACATATATATGCGATTGCGTGCTTGTCGACTACTATCGGCACCGCCGGTTCGCACCTGTACTGCTCAGTTTGCTCCCACTTATCAGGCTATTTCTCTGCTCAATTCTCTAATTGCTCAGCAGCCAGATATTGATATATTTAATGACAAAATATATATATTTTTTAAATGTTGTTTAAAATTTTTTTTTAGTTTTGTAAAATAAACCTATGGCTCACTACGCGTTTTTGGGATACTGTAAGTATGAAGAGTAATTTATAAATAAATTAATATAATAGGAGGTTATATGACATTATATGTATAACTCAAATTGTGACCATGAAATGACAAATTTTATATTTTTCCCCCCAACATTCAATTGTAACAAACTGACGGTGCACCTGATGGTAAGTGGTAAACTTGAACAGCATCATGGACATAACAGAATACTAGGTATCTCTGTATATTTCTTTTAATCATCAATTCCTTCCTATATTTTGTACACTATTTTGAACTTAATTAAAAACTGTGTCCCACAAAAGACCTACTACAATAGTAACAAAATCAGTTATCGTGGTCTAAAAATTAAACTACAAAACCTATTTTGATAAAATTTCTATGAGACTAATTTATATCTTTTCAGATAAAAAAAAAAATCCTAAAGCGGTTAGAACCGACGGAGTTATGAGGTAACAAACATTAAAAAAAAAACTTCTTCTTTTTAAAGTCAGTTTGAAAAACAAACTCTTTTTGCTTGGTGCAATTTTCTAAGCTAAAAATATTGAAGAAGGATTTAAAAATAAAATTTCAAAGTCAATAAAATAATAGCTTTTATAAACACATATCGAAAAGATTATAAAATGTCGTATTCCTTTTTATTTCTAGACATTTTTTAATATTAATTTTCTATCCATTATTATGAATTTAAAAAATAATAAAGAACATTTGATTTTTTAAAAAGAAAAAGATTATTTATTGCTTTTTTTAAGTATACTGTATTACTACCATATCTGAAGCGTCTGATATTTTTTTTAATTGTTGTGGTCCCATAGGAATAATTTTTATTTAAGTAAAGTTAATGTTAATAATTTTAAACAATCATTTTTTATAATTACCGCCCATTGGATTGCAATTTGCAACCGAGGAAAACAAGAAACACAGTTATTGTTTTTTTTTTTCAAACAAAAGTAAATTTTACAATTATAAATTTTAAATTAACTATTTTTACTTAACAATTTTATTTTAATAAACTATTTAAATAAACACTATTGGGATTTAATGAGATGAAAAAATTGCCAAGTCGTGATGACGACGCGGTGCAATCCACGTCGAAACGTCGGCAATAAAGAAGCAGGTATGTAGGTACTATTTACTTGCAAAAAAATTTTCATTCCGTTAAGTCCCGAAAGTGTATTTAAAATACGTTTAAACAATGCAACAAAAGTTTAAATTAACTTTTTTTATACAACTTAAAATGGCAAACAAGCTGACGGCCCACCTGATGGAAAGTGGTAACCGTCGCCTATAGACATGAGCAGTACCATGGACATAACAGAGTATACTGTTTCGCCCATGATACCCCCCATGCGTTGTCATTCCTCAGGACTCAGGTATCATTCCTCTGTACCCAGTAAATTATAAATTTGTGTCAATACAGACTAGTAATAAACATCAGATGTAATATTATTGAAGTCGCCATGTTGTTAAATTTCTTAATATTAAATTTTCAATTATTTACCATCTATCTAATTGCACGTTATTTTTCTACAAATATATTTGAATCACAGATATGAAACTAAATAATTTACATTTCTATCCTATTATTAAATTCGTCTAAAAATAATAATTTGGGGAGTGCCTCGTCTCTTACCATTAGTACCCGAATTTCACATAATGGTGTAGAGAGACGGCACTTATGCTATTTACAAAAATAATTTTTATTTTCGACTCACAATTTGTGCTATGTAATTATAAAATAGGTTGAAAAATTTACCATCCGTCGATTCGATCACACGGGATTCGAACCCGAACGTCTCTACTATCCTGGCTGGATGTATTACAATTTAGTAGCTCCCATGAAATTAATAATGTTATAAATAAATAAACAAATATATATTGGTTACTAAATATTACCATCACTTTTTTCCAAATCCTTTTTTCCATCACTTTTTTCCATCACTTTTTTTCTGACGTAGTTTGTTGATTGAAGGTATTTACATTTTTCAACCTGTTAATAATTTTGGAATTTACAAATGCAATATTTTACAATATTTTCAAATATATTAAGTAACATTAAGCTAAGGCGCCTATAATAATCATAATTATCACACAGATGAATAATATAACTAGGAAATTAAGTACTTTTTAAAAAAATAATACATCAATATTAATTTGTGATACTCAAAGAACAGACATGAAGAGAGTCCGTGATGCTTCATCGTACTCAAATTTGTCAATCACTCCATCACTTTACAACTATTAAATCACACGTGATTTGTACCAAAAATAAATGATTGGATCTAAGCACAGCGATTTCATTAAAACTAAGACTTGAAACTCTTAGTTTTGATGTTAAATTCTAAAGTTAGAAGGGCTCTGTTAATAATTAAAATTTGTAAGACTATTAACGAAGCTTATTATATTATTATATTAAATTAGTATTAATGGAATTTAATGAAAATGTAAGAAAACAGTTTACTTGACTCAATCTGCTGATAGTAAGAAAGAAAGAAAGAAATAATTTAATCGAAGAAGCATGCGGCCCACACAGTAGCGCACAAAACAAGAACAAAAGAAATCAAAACAAAACAAACAAAAGAAAATAATAATTGTATACAAATAGAAAGCAATTAAATTATAATAATAATCAATAAACAAACAAACAAACAAACAGTAGGATAACTCTTGAATCCAACATCGAACTCAATCCAAATCTATTGCTAATGACAATTTAATACTGCACTCATGTAGTAGTCCATAGTGATAGCTTAAATTCATAAAAACATAATATAATTGTTAACGTATGCCAGATTCATGATTAAAATCTTCTTATCAATTTAATTGTTATTAAAACAACCGGAAATACAGTTTTAGTTTTGTAAAACATTGCAATTTATGTGTATTGGTGGCGCCACAGTCGCGCTCCCGCCAATATGCAAAACTAGTGAGTCATTTTGTTAAAGCTAAGAACAAGGAAGGAATGATAAAATAAAAACTATAAATCATATGGTTACTTCCTTTCTTCTTATGCAAATATAATTACTAAAAAGAGAACGAAAGATATACCATCAGTTGCTATTTTTCTCAATTTATAGCACGTTAGTGTATAGGAAGTGTGTACGTAAAATTTTTGCTCATATTGATATGTCAATTATTTGCCAATAACAAATTTTACATTACTACATTACATATTCGACACAGTTTATGTAGAAAGTATGCAAGCAGGTAGTATCTAAATTCCGTAGGGTTATACGGCCAATAAAACCAAGTGACATATCTTGATGAATTTGATTATTCCAGACAGTATGATTATTGAAAACTAGGCAGCATGGTCTCCGACCTTAGCCTGTTCCACAACGGAACAAACGTACTAAAACAAATGAACTCGACTTCTACGAACTAGTCAAAAGGCAGATGCATTTTTATATGTCTATCTCTCTCTAACGCATTGGCAATGTCATAAATACAACGAGCAATACACTATGTGTATTATGCATTCCATCTACGAGTTTCTATTCCGAAATCTTTGTTAAAAGCAGTTTAGCTGTCAACACATTACTCATAGTATAATAAACTACTTAAGTTTAATTATCTAAAGCGACAAGAATTGTGATCAGGACATGTATAATCGTCATGAAATAAAAACTTATGTAAGACGTGACTGTATTATTTGTGGAACCTCGCAATAACAGCAAAAATCAATTAATTGCTTGAATGTTTTAAATTTTTATTAATATATATTTCTGTGTTAATTTCAACAAGACTTGCTTACATTTTCATTAAATTGTGTTGAAACTTAATATACGTAGGTGTAGTATAAGGACCACACGTGATCATATTTCAAAGCCGTAAATTGAAAATTTTAGAAACTTAACGGATTATTCTTAAACTAACAAATATGTTATACCTTTTAAAGCTTGTAAATATAAGCTTTATAAATTAATATAATAATCGGAATTAGTAATAGTATACTAGAGTATTACCGTGTGGTCCCGGCATAGAATAGGCCACCCCGTCCTTTCCCGTGGACGTCGTAAGAGGCGACTAAGGGCGGGCAAGGGATGGGCAGCAGCGTCCTTCTTAAAACATCTTAAGCCAAACTGCGGTTGCTAATCCGCCTGCTAAGCGTGGTAACTACTGGCAAAACACTCCAAACTGACTCTAGAGTATACTTAATAATTCCATGAGTATACTAATTAACGTTCTGATGATTCGCTTTCAAATAGAATGCTTTTGTTCATTATTTCCATTTATTTTAAAGCGTCATTGTATATTACATCTTTTAATGTGTCCAATATATTATTGTGTACCATAAGGATTTTATAATACAATACAATTTTTCTATTATTCCTAATTAGTTGTAAAATTTTCTAGAGTAACAGGAGTTCGTTGAGTATTCTGTAAAGTTTAAAGTTTAGTAACCGCATTGGTAGTGCATTGGTACACCAACAACGTACTATCAAGTTAAATTAATGGGCTGCTACATCTTCTGTCTTTACTGTGCTGTTTCCAAGATGTCAAAGACTGTACAGATTTTAATTCGTCTGCAGTCAACGGTCTACCTCTAAACTCATTCTCTATATCTTGAAGAGTTCTATCTTTCGTTTCTGGTAGAAACAGTCCAGCTATAACTAAACAATATCCTACCACGGCGAAATATAACAAATAGGCTCCGTAGATTCCTACAGATTTAAACAAAATAGGCACAGTTTTAACTGTGATGAAAAGATTCGAAGATAAGAACAGAACGCTGATACCGCCAGCTAGACTCCTATATTCTAATGGGAACAGTTCTCCAGCTATGATGAAGGGTAACGGAACGGTACCAGTAGCTATAGAGAACATATGGATATGTATCAATAAAATGCCTATTGCTGGATGGTCGAACGGTAAAAGGTGTTGCGCTTTGCAATATGTGTATCCAGCGATTGAAAGAAAAGCAAAAAGGTTAATGCCCACAGTGATGAAAAGCATGGTGCGTCGTTTGATCTTCTTGATAACGTAAACAGCACAAGAATTCGAAATGATTCTCTGGATATCCAACGTAATAATCATAAGGGGTATATTAGTGCCATCGCCTACTACATTTTGGAAGATATCTGTAGTGTACGCTGCCAAGATGTTCGCACCAGCCCACTGTCCCAAAGTATATACGTGCATCATAATAAATATTGGCTTGTAAAACTCTTTCTTTAGTACTGTATTATTAAAATAAGCAACACCAGCTTTCATTTTCTTTAAAAATGATTCAGACAAGTTCGCTTCGTCTTTCGATTCTCTTAATATAACACTGGCTTCGATCATCTCCTTCAGTTCCTCTTCCTCGCCGTCTCCTCTCAACCATCTAAATACTTTTCTGCAATCCTCATATCTACCTTGATCAGATAACCAACTGGGCGATTCTGGTGAATAGATCACAATTAACAAATCAATAAAGACTATGAATGCGCAAACCAACGCCGCAGTCTGCCAAGGCAAATAAGACCCCAAGGAATGCACAGTTAAAACCCCAATTGCAATAGTCAAGGATATGCTTGTTAAAAATGCACCTCGATTGTTTGGGCTTGTGTATTCACCGATTAAAACTGGTCCCAATGTTGCGCTCATGCCCATGGATATCCCCTGGAGAAATCTGGCGAATAGCAGTAAGGGTATACTTGTCGCTATGATGATGCAGAACCAACCAACCAGCATTGGCACGATGCTCACCAAGTTAGCTGTTCTTCTACCATATTTGGCCATTATAGTGGGTGCTATGAAGTTGCCTGCTACCAACGCGAAACCCAGGATGGAAGCTGAAACAAAAGCGTTATTGTAAGAATAATAAATATTACATTAAAGCCTGCGACGATCACACTTATATTCTATGAAATCAAAAAGTGGTATTGGTGAAAAATTTAACAAAATATTGGATCCAATTAAAACAATTGTTATTCCGACACGTTTAGCTGTTAAATAATACAGTATACAACACACGTGAAATACAGTAACAAATATTATAGTCAAATACAAGCATCCATTTTGAGGAATTGTTCAATGCTCACAGCCACTTTCCACCATCGTACGACTCACCATCGACAAGGAGTTCATCTTCATGTCCTACAGCCTCAATGGTCGCGTACTGCGCGGTTTCAGAGATGTTTCCTCCCACGAATACTCAAGTTGTGGAATGAGCTCCCTGCCGAGGTTTTCCCAAGAGACTACAGCATGGGGTTCTTCAAAAGGGGGGTAAAGAGGTTTCTTCAGGGTTGGCAACGCACGCGTAATACCTGGTATTGCAGCTGTTCATAGGCTACGGTAACCACTTACCATCAGGTGGGCCGTATGCTTGTTTGCCACTTCAGTGGTATAAAAAAAAATCCATTTTGTTGTTCAATAGTTTAAACAACAAAATATTTAGATAAACGCAAGTTTATCTATAAAATCACTCGACTAGATTACTAATGTATTAGAAACTAGGTTTTTTTTTTGTTGGATGAAAATGGTATGGTAACCCCGCCTGCGCTAACGGGATACGCTGGCGGAGCACCAGTGAAGGGTGATAGATGAGAATGAAAACAGGCCAGTTAGCCCATCATGATGAATTCGTCATGAAGAATTAATCATGACAGTTTCCAGGGGGAACCGCGTGGAGGTCGACCTGGTTGGGTATATTGCTAGCAATGGGATTTTTAGTCTCCATTACTAACAATCCTTTTCCCCCCTAGAAACTAGGTTATATGTCTAAGTACAGCTACTAAATACATAAAACATGTATCTAAGTGATAATAATATATTGTTATAACTATGTAATTTTTATGTTTATTTATATTTCTTGTTAGCAGTTAAGTGATTACCTTCGTGATTTAACTTAACACATACATCACGTAATGATTTTCATGACTGTTACATTTTAAAGTGATTATAAAGAGGTAGAGTTTGTACAAAAGTCTTTTGCTTGGGCAGTTCTGTTCCGTTCGTGTTTCTACCGTGAAGCAATTGTGTTTGCATGGCTGTGTTTCGGTTTGCAGGGTGGGATATGCCAGTGAATTTACAGGGTACAGAGGAATAACACCTGCCCTCAGGAATGGCAACGCATGCGGGTATCATGGATCAAAACATTACACTCTGTTATGTCCATGGTACTACTCACGTCTATAGGTGATGGTTACCACTTTTGATCAGGTGGGTCGTCAGTTTGCTTGCCATTCTAAGTTTCATATATAAAAAAGCGTATATATAAATTATTTAATTTCCAAGAGCTGTCTTTATATCTTTACTTCAACGTGGACTGTCGAACAATTTGACAGTTCTCTTGATTGAGTGCTGATCATCGCCTATACATCTCAGAATGCACTGTGTCGCCCCTAACGTTCATTCCGGATTCTTTAGGATTTTTTTTAGCCTCCCGTAGGAGTGCAGCTTGTTCCCGGATAATAATTTCCAGGTTATTTAGCTAATTTAATTTCCTTCTAAGTTTTCCTCACTCTTTACTACCATGTTCCCTTCATTCCTCATTTTTCATTCCACTTTTTCCCATTTGTCGTAACGATCTTCTTGGATTATTTCAAATTTCCGTAGATTCTTTAGGATTCAGAAGTAGATATTTCTGTAGGATATAGTAATTTTTTTGTAATATACTAAGTTTCTGTCGTGTGACCTCGTGGGTGTCGTATTAAACGACTACGGGAATTTAATGGCAGGAAAATGGGCAGCAGCGTCTCTCTTGTTAACTGTTGATAACCCGCTTGTCAAGCGTAGCAACTATTGGCAATACGGGGGGTATTATATGAGAGGCCAACAGTGGACAGTTAACGGTTGATGTAATAAAAATATTCACATGTTTAATTATAATAAAAACAATAGAACAAAATGTTTTTATGCCAGTAATTATTTCCATTGGAGTTTCCAACAATAATTCATATTGTAGGATTTTAATAAATTAATTTTTAATTTATTAATAAAAATAATTATTTAATTCCTAAAAGTAATACATACTTCAAGCATTCCGTATAGCTCATCCTTCATAAACCTGAGCACTGATGCAGTGTCATCTGTCTTTTATCGCAATAAACACTTCGGTTACTCTCGAACGAGGTGATTTGGTAATTTGCCAAATGTTAGAATTTTCCGTTCACTTCAATCGGTGAGAGTTACTGACGAAATATTGTCAGAAATACACGTTCGTGACATTAGAACGCCCGTAACTGAAGTCATGCACAGTTAAATATAAACATTTGATATTGTCTTTAACTTTGACTTTGAACTTTGACTATCTTAATATAGCATTATGGGGTGAAAGGGATTGTTAGTAATGGAGACTGAGAATCCTATTGCTAGCAATATACCCAACCAGGTCGACCTCCTCGCGGTTCTCCCTGGTAACTATCATGGTTAATTCCTGATGAATTCATCATGATGGGCTAACTGGCCTGTTTTCATTCTCATCTAGCACCCTTCACTGGTGCTCCGCCAGCGTATCCCGTTAGCGCAGGCGGGGTTACCATACCATTTTCACCCATCAAAATAAAAAAAATATATAGCATTATACTAGTTAGAAATGAGCAATGACAGTGACCTTAAAAACAGTTTTTTTATCTTATATAAAAATATATTCTAGTGTATTATGGTTTTATTGTAATTTAAAAAAATAAATGATAGAATTGTTACCAACATGCTTAACAAATATAGCAATAGATTTTTAAACAATTCTTTTATGCAACTTAGAATGGCAAACAAGCCCACCTGATGGAAAGTGGTAACCGTCGCCTATAGACATGAGCAATACCATAGACATGACAGAGTATACTGTTTCGCCCATGACACTTCCCATGCGTTGCCATTCCTGAGGACTCAGGTGTTGTTCCTCTGTACCCAGTAAATTCACGCCATATCCCACCCTTCAAACCGAAACACAGCCATGCAAACACAACTGCTTCACGATTGAAACATGAATGGGACAGAGGTACCCAAGCATTCGACTTTTGTACAAAGTCTCCCTCTGGTAATATAAATATAACAAACGCGGATTTTTATCTTAATCCTGTAATACTTACGAGTGTATGTAGTTAGAGATTAGATAAAGAATTCAATACACTTTATTAAACTAAAACTGTTTACAGATCGTAAGCACCTGCTGATGAGGGGGGGGGGGGATTGTTAGTAATGCAAACTACCAGTCGCATTGCTAGCAATGTACACAGTCAGGCCGGCCTCCACGTGGTCCCCCTATCATGCTGAAATTCCAATTCTTTTTCCGTGAGTTTCGTAAGAGGCGATTAAGAAAATATAGCAATCGATTGATGAGCAGCGTCCCTCTTAAAACACCACCAGAAGCCTAACTACGATCGCCAATCTGCCGAACAAACGTGGCAACTACTGGCAAAACTACCCTTCATTGGGGTGGCTCATGTTCAGCAGTGGAGAATTAACGGTTTTTAAATTTTTATTTTATTTATTAGCTCAGAAGGAAATGGATAAACTTAGAGCCTTTGAAACGTGGTGCTGGAGAAGGATGGAGAAAATTAGCTGGAGGGATCGAATTAGCAATAAGGAGGTCCTGCTTAGGGCTAAGGAAAAAAGACAAATTATTAGAACTATTGAGGGCAGAAGGGGAAAAATGTTGGGACACTTGATACGACACGACGAACTTATGAACATTATAATAGAAGGTAAGATAGAAGGAAGGAAGGGAAGAGGGAGACCGAGGCATAGTTACATCAGGCAGATCAAGGAAGGAGTTGGTGTCGTGTCGTATCAAGAGCAGCGTACCGTGAAGCAGTTGTGTTTGCAATGCTGTGTTTCAGTTTAAAGGGTGGGATATGGCCGTGAATTTACAGGGCACAGAGGAATAACAGCCGAGTCCTCAGGAATGGCAACGCATGGGATGTATCATGGGCGAAACAGTATACTCTGTTATGTCCATGGTACTGCTCATAACTACAGGCGATGGTTACCACTTTCCATCAGGTGGGTTGTCAGCTTGTTTGCCGTTCTGAGTTGTATAAAAAAAATCTTATAAAAAGGCAAGTAATGAATATTTGAAATGTTTAAATAAACAGGTGAGTTGCTAAGGCATTATCGTTACAGGAAAATCAAACAGATCACTGATAACTGTTTTCGTTTAAGATAGTATCAATAGGCGTAAATTTTGATATATTACATAGATAACTTATTACATAATATACAATATTACATTAACAATTTGCTCCTGATATATCATATGTGTGATCGGTATTATTGTCAAATGAAATATGTTTATAAAAAACTCAGAAATAAAGATATAAAAGAATGTGAGAACATAGAAGAACCAAAGTAATTTACTAGAGGGAGACTTTGTACAAAAGTTGTTTACTTGGGCACCTCTGTCCTATTCGTGTTTCTACCGTGAAGCAGCTGTGTTTGCATGGCTGTGTTTCGGTTTGAAGGGTGGGACATGGCGTGAATTTACTGGGTACAGAGGAATAACACCTGAGTCCTCAGGAATGGCAACGCATGGGGGGTATCATGGGCGAAACAGTATACTCTGTTATATCCTTAATATTGCTCATGTCTATAGGCAACGGTTACCACTTTCCATCAGGTGGGCCGTCAGCTTGTTTGCCATTCTAAGTTGTCAAAGACGGTCTGGCAACCGTCACCTACAGACATGAGCAGCACCATGGACACAACAGAGCACACTGCCTCGCCCATGACACTCCTCATGCGTTGCCATTCCTGAGGACTCAGGTGTTATTCCTCTGATGATGCAAGTGGCTTAGGACTATTCCCTTTGTCAATCGATGGCAGTGATTAATAATCCATTTCTGCCATTAAGTGGGCAATTAATGGCAGGAATTAAAATGATGTAGGTAGAATACGGAATAGAATAGAGTACGGGTAAAAGAATGGAGAGTCCATTTTTTTACCCGTTTTTGTAGGAATTGTCATTAATGTTTTTTTAGTGATTATCTACCTATAAAATGAATCTACCTCCCAAATTTCAGTTCCCTAGGTCAAAAGTATTTTTAGATTTTACGATCAATCAATAAGTAATTAAAAAAGTCCATGTAAACTGTTCCATGTATATTGCTTGCCTTCCGTATTCCATGTTCTGTATTGGTCATCTTGTTTACTCGTATTCTATCTCAATATGGAATAGTTTCTTGTAGAAGAAGAGAGAAGAAAGAAAGAAATAATTTAATCGAAGAAGCATACGGCCCACACAGTAGCGCACAAAACAAGAACAAAAGAAATCAAAGCAAAACAAACAAAAGAAAATAACAATCGTATACAAAGGAAAACAATTAAATTATAATAATAATCAATAAACAAACAAACAAACAGTAGGATAACTCTTGAATCCAACATCGAACTCAATCCAAATCTATTGCTAATGACAATTTAATACTGCACTGATGTAACAACAGTTTGGAATTAGCTACAATTAGGATCGGTTTACAATAGTTTGCATTGACAATTGCATTGAGAAGAGCGTACTCGACATACTCGATTTTAACGCTATCATGAAATATTCAAACATTAAATTAATTATCTGCTTTTTTTGTTAGATTGTTTCTATTAACTCCGTTACCCAACGGTTGCCTTGAAATTATTGCATTAGCAACATGGTGCCTTGTTACTTTAATATATTACCCTTAACCTTGCATTTAACTATACTATATTAACTATTTAACTATCACTAATTGTATTCTCCGTATCACCTCGATAAATTGCGAAGTTCAATGTCATGAAATGTTAGAATTACATACGTAAACCTTCTCAACATACTAGTCTAGGCTTGTTACTAGTTAATAAATGTGGTCTCGCAACTTCCTTATATGGTTAAACTGGTTTATGGTCTCGAGGTTATATGAAACGTTTTTCTCGTGACCGATATATATATAAGTTCGTCTAATTTCATTTAGCTTTGAAACTTTAAATCCACCGTCAGACGCCAATATTCAATATTGGCGTTGCTGTGATGAAAGAACAATCATTAAGGGATAAAGACTAGAGAAATAGGATCATTGCAACTTTTACAGGGTGAAGTTAGTTTCAACGTGGTCTCTCCTGGATTCCATAGTCGTTAACCCTTTATGGAGCAAGATGGTAATTTATGTTAATTGTACGATTACTTAGTTGTAAATATGTATCTTGTTGTAAAAATCTTATTGCATAAAAAGTATTTATTATTTTAAAAAAAAAATTGTTGCAGAAATACAACAGTGCCTAAAAAGCCTTTAAAAATTATAAAATATGAAATTTTTTAAAACAGTTCTTTTGCTTATTGTAGCATAAGCCAATGCCACATTTTTCGCAAAGTGTTTGCGTATACCCTGAGCAACTTGGAAATTTGCACCATTACATTCTTTTATCCACACAAACAGGCCAGTGTCCATATTGGTCTAACCTTACAACTTTAATAACCCGTAAATTGGCCATAGTGGGCCAAATGAACTGTCTTTAACTTCAACCAATAGCGCAGGCAAGGTGACCATTACAAAAGATCTCAATGCTGACTTATGCCGGTGGGTAGTGAACAATGATGTTTACACATTGATCCTGTTAGTAGAATGGGAAGCTTAGCTACTAGTTTCAGAAGAAAAGCAACTACAAAAGCTGAATTGGTTGTGCTGGTGCAGAATGTGCACAACAAGGATTTTGAGGATATGTTTTTTTTTTATATAACTTAGATTGGCAAACAAGCTGACGGCCCACCTGATAGAAAGTGGTAACCGTCGCCTATAGACATGAGCAGTACCATGGACATAACAGAGTATACTGTTTCGCCCATGATACCCCCCATGCGTTGTCATTCCTAAGGACTCAGATGTTATTCCTCTGTACCCAGTAAATTCACGCCATATCCCACCCTTCAAACCGAAACACAGCCATACAAACACAACTGCTTCACGGTTGAAACACGAATGTCATATATGTGTGTATCTGTCACTATAGCCATTTTAAATTGCGGTATACAATAGAGTTTATAGTAGATTTATTTAGCGAGGTGCAAACCCAATACCTAACATCTAGTAAATACGGAATAAGCAAAGGCAGTTTTGGGCTATGGCCAAAAACACGTTGAAAATGATCATATTCTTCGAAAAAAGAGCAAAGAGGTTTTTGTTTTAATGGATGATAATGGAATGATATCTTGCGCTATCGGTATACATTGGCCGGGTATCAGCGAGGGAAGATTGGTGAGGATGAAAAGGCAGGTCAGAGCCCATCGTGACGAATTCAACAATAAATTAGTCACGATGGTTTCCAGGAGGAACCGCGTGGAGATCGACCTGATAAGTTACATTGATACCGATGGGGACTAACCTCCCCATTGATAACAATCCCTTCCCCCCGAGCAAAGAGGTTTCTTAATGTATGCTTTATCAATTTATTTGGTTGACTTCCTAAATTCATCCACGATTTGGAACGTAGAGTTTTGAATGCTAAATCAGCACGTATTTTTTATTTTGTAAAAATTTTATATAATAAAAAGAATATCACATTTTCTCTTTTTGGGTTCTCAAGGTTGACTGGAAGATATCTCTTGAAGTCCGCCTGTGTACATTTTGACTATAACATAATATCTATATGTAAAGTGAATGTACGATGTATATAAATAAATAAATAAATGAACTTACCTATCCAAGAGCCAGATGATTCGTCAATTGGTATAATGGAATCTGGTTTTCGGAGCTGTGGCAGCAGTATGGCAGCAAAACCCATGACCAAGCCATGCCCGGACATGTTCAGACAAACGCCTATTGTGACGAAGCACTGAAAGGAAAAACAAAAAATATATCAAACGATTTTTTATATAAATAATTATATATAATTCTATATACCATAGATGTAGTACTATCTACAGTGTTTGCATGATTTTTTTTATACAACTTAAAATGGCAAACAAGCTGACGGTTCACCTGATGGAAAGTGGTAACCGTCGCCTATAGACATGAGCAGTACCATGGACATAACAGAGTATACTGTTTCGCCCATGATACCCCCCATGCGTTGCTATCTCTGAGGACTCAGGTGTTATTCCTCAGATTGATGACAGTTTTATCACTTTGATATAATTTATTATTAATAGGCTAACTGACCTACTTCATCCTCACCTATCATCCTTCACTGGTGCCCCGCCGGTGTATACCAATAGCGCGGGTGGGGTTACTATTCCATTATCATCCATTAAAAAAATAGGTATTATATTATCAATGGCGTAGCCCTCTCCATAATATTAATTCATATAGATATAGGTACACATACAAACGTAAACATGTTTTTATGATTGGTCTTTTTTATCATACGCAAAATTCGTGTAGGTAATTAATATCAGTTTTTTCGCTGATCGACATCTCATTAAGCATAATGCCCTTGTTAACTAATAATACATATGTATACCTATACATATGTACTATAGATACAGACTACGTACTATAATGATTACCATTTTTGTTATCAACTTGTTTACCGAGTTATTACTTGAAATGAAGGCAATTTTCGTTATTGAAAACGCTTCTTTTTACCTAGGTTAAAAAGTAATACCAGTACATCCAAATAGTCTAGTATATCTAGTTGGTATACTGGAGTAAATGTGTCAGAGTCTTGGTAATATATATATATATATATATATATATATATGCCACTTTTCGTTGTAATTTTATAACTCAAGAACGGCCTCACCTATCCAAACCAAATGTTTAGAGGCTTTGTTCGGACTATTTAGTAGATGGTTTATGTGAAGTTTGAACAAAATCGGTCGAGCGGTTCTTCATTTATCACATTTTTTGTAACAAATAAATTCAATAAATGGCTGATCATTTTTTTAATGGGGATTTTAGTGTCAAATTAAAACTTTTTTTTAAGATGGGGATTGTGCTGTCAAATTGAAACTTTTCAGTGTTTTCAGTACAAGCATGTTGTTACGTCATTCATGCGGTCATTTCATTTTGGACGTGTTTCGATTAAAGCAAATTGTCAGCGATAATTATTGTTTTGTGTTTATATTTTTAAATATATTGTTCAAATCGGCTATTCCATTCAATAGATATTTACGAATTTAATAAATGCATAGAAATAGAAAAAATAACGCTCTAGCGTTGAACGTCGTGATGAATTCATCAAAAATTAACCACGATGGTTTCCAGCGGGAACCGCGTGGAGGTCGACCTGTTAGGGTATATTGCTAGTAATGGGTCCGTTGGATCTCACTACCAACAATCCCTGTTCCCCCAAACCAATACCATATTACGACTACTCAAATTAGCTTCTGTATAAACCAACTTGAATAATGTTTATTCTGAATTTGACATGAGCATCTGGCCATTAGATCGGCCGTTTACCTGTTCGCTGTTCCAAGTGGTTCGGTATATACAGAAATATCATTTAATTCTATTTCCGTTAACAACAAAAACACAACGTGAATCTAAACATAACCACGGTACCTAACTAGCATTTTGTTTACTGTAAAATTACAGTACATAATGGTCATTTACATCATTTACTCCAATCCTAATTATATATATTCTTTATTACTTTATTGGAAACCATCGCCTTGATAGCCAGATTATTGCTCGCCCATCATGATGGACTAACTGGCCTGTTTTCATTCTCATCTATCACCCTTCACTGGTGCTCCGCCAGCGTATCCCGTTAGCGCAGGCGCGGTTACCATACCATTTTCATCCACCAAAAAAAAAAACATGTATGTAGACTGAATAATGGGCAGTGATTGATGACTAGTACGGAAGATCGTAGATTTTCCACTATTAATAATAATATGTAGTCACCTCAAACCCTCAAATGTCGGCAGTTTTCTTTTTTCTTTAATGGATGATAATGGAATGGTAACCCCACCCGCGCTATCGGTATACACTGGCGGTACACCAGTGAAAGATGATAGGTGAGGATGAAGTAGGCCAGTTAGTCCATTGTGACGAATTCAACAAGAATTGTTCGCGATGGTTTCCAGGGAGAACCACGTGGAGGTTGACCTGATAGGATATTGCTAGCAATGGGACTGTCAAACTCCATTGCTAACAATCCCTTTCCCCCCAAATCTTGGCAGTCGCACGCACACTGATGGCAGCGGAAATAAACAAAGTAATTCAAATTAATTAACCATCAATTTATACTAATATTATAAAGAGGAAAGAATTGATTGTTTGTTTGTAATGGACGAACTCAAAAATTAATCAATCGATTTAAAAACACTACTTCCTATGCCACTGTTTTTTTTTTAATGGGTGATAATGGTATGGTAACCCTGTCTGTGTGGGGGGAAAAGGATTGTTAGCAATGGAGTTTGACAGCCCCATTGCTAGCAATATACCTTATTAGGTCGACCTCCACGTGGGTCCCCCTGGAAACCATCGTGAACAATTCTTGTTGAATTCGTCACAATGGGCTAACTGACCTGCTTCATCCTCACCTATCATTCTTCACTGGTGCCCTGCCGGTGTATACCGATAGCGCGGGTGGGGTTACCATTCCATTATCATCCATTTAAAAAAAAACCCTGCCTGCGTTATCGGTATACACTGGCGGGGCACCAGTGATAGATGACTAATGAGGATGAAAGCAGGTCAGTTAGCCCATCCTGACGAATTCAACTAGAATTAGCCACGATGGTTTCCAGGGGGAACTACGTGGAGGTCGACCTGACAGGGTATATTGCTAGCAATGGGCTAAAAATACTATATAAACAGGCCACCAAAAATAGTGCATACTAAACAAAATTATGCACTTATATCTAATCTGGTCTAATGCTGTTTATGATCAAACACAACCGAAATACTCATGCACATTTATACTTATAATAAATCTGTATAGAGGTCAATTCTGTACATGAAATATATTTCCAAAATAACTATCAGCGGGTGATTAGTGATCGATACTGATGCCAAAAATGCAATCGGTAAAATTTTTGTCAATCCCTTTGTATGTTCGTTATAGAAACAAAAACTACTTGATGGATTTTAACGAAACTTGGTACAGTTATTCTTCATACTCCCGGGCAGGTTATAGTATACTTTTCATCACGCTACGATCAATAGGAGCAGGGCAGTGAAGGGAAATGTGTCTGTTACATCGAAACCACTGAACCGTGAGGAAGGACATAGGCTACTTATTTTACGGAAAACGACGGAAACACGGACGAAGTCGCGGGCAACAGCTAGTTTATTGTAATAAAATATTGTCTGTCATCAATGACACATAGAGTCACATTCACGGTACGTATTTAAGTTATTTTCCGTGATAACTGTTTATTTTTTTATTAAAATATTTGCGACACAGTTTACTTTTTGGAATAACAAAGTGAATCTTGACATTTACAATAGAATTTAAAAAGAAACACGTTCCCGTTCGATTTGATTGTATTTTTTTTTAATGTTTATTACCTCACTAGCGGCCCGACCCGGCGTCGCACGGGTGGACATTTTTAACATTTCCCTTCACTGCTTTGCTCCTATTGATCGTAGCGTGATGAAAAGTATACTATAACCTGCCCAGGAGCATGAAGAATAATTGTATCAAGTTTCGTTAAAATCCGTCTAGTAGTTTTTGTTTCTATAACGAACATACAGACAGACAGACAAAATTTACTGATTGCATTTCTGGCATCAGTATCGATCACTAATCACTCGCTGATAGTTATTTTGGAAATATATTTCATGTACAAAATTGACCTCTCTACAGATTTATTATAAGTATAGATAACTCCGTCAGTTGTAAACCTGTTAATTATTCTTTCAAATGAAAGGATATACTTACAGGTTGATCTCATAGAAACTTTATCGAAAACGGTTCAGTAATTTTGAAAGAAATAAATACTGGTATTACCACAGCCAAAGTTAGCTTTCTCGTGTTTGTGATACACAATTTTGTATTATATACCAATGCTATTTACAAATACGTATTTAAGGGGGGAAAGGGATTGTTAGTAATGGAGACTGAGAGTCCCATTGCTAGCAATATACCCAAGCAAGTCGACCTCCTCGCTTTTCTCCCTGGAAACTATCAAGGTTAATTCCTGATGAATTCATCATGACGGGCCAACTGGCCTGTTTTCATTCTCACCTATCGCCCTTCACTGGTGCTCCGTCAGCGTATTCCGTTAGCGCAGGCGGGGTTACCATGCCATTTTCACCCATCAAAAAAAAAAAAGAAAACGTATTTAAACCACTCACCTGCTTCTTGAACGGCGTGTTCCATTCACATTTTTTAGCCATCGCAACAAACACGCACACTAACAAGCATCGACGTTTGTAATTCACTATTAACACTTCCCGTATTGTTATATTTCACTCATCACATTTTTATCAGATGTGTCGTAACACGATAGATAAATACTTGCGTTATAATATCAACTGTGCACAGTGTAGCGCCACGCGCCGTGTTTCAAATAGGTCTGACTATTTATAATCAATATATATATATCTCTACACAGTTGACTGAGAGTTTTTTTTTTTGTGATATTACACAAACAAACATAGGGCCATTTTTTTTTTTATAATTAACTCGTTGAACGTAATTTTGTATCGTGATTAGGCATGCGTAATAAGGATATCGACCAATCCCATTGCTAGCAATAAACTCTCTCAGGTCCACCTCCTCGCCGTTCCCCCTGGAAACCATCTTGATTGGTTTATTGTTGAATTCGTCACGATGGGCTAACTGACCTGCTTCATCATCACCTATCATCCTGCACTGGTGTCCCGCCGGTGTATACCGATAGCGCGGGTGGGGTTACCATTCCATTATCACCCATTAAAAAAAATATGGATATCGATTTGATATTTATATATCGGATTTCTCTGGATATCGACGGTGGATAAAAGGTCATTACCAATTTCGGTATCGCCCATATCGGTCGGATATCTATTTTCGAGTATTTTAAAAGTCTGTTATCTAATATAATTTTTTGGATAACAGACTTTTTTTTATGCATTTTCGAATGGCAAACAAGCTGACGGCCCACGTGATGGAAAGTGGTAACCGTCGCTTATAGACATGAGCAGTACCATGGACATAACAGAGTACTGTTTCGCCCATGATACCCCTCCAATACGTTGCCATTCCTGAGGACTCAGGTGTTATTCCTCTGTACCCAGTAAATTCACGCCATATCCCACCCTTCAAACCGAAACACAGCCATGCAAACACAACTGCTTCAAATAAAATTAGAGTAAATACTCAAAGACGAGAACTCTGAGAAGTATGTGTTACATTAAAAGATAGAGTGAGAAATAGTGTGATTAGAGAGAAATGTGGACTGAAAAGGAATGTCGCGTTGGTTTGGTCATTTGGAGAGGATGGATAAAAGAAGAATTACGAAAGAGATTTGTCGAGCAAGAATGAATGGGCATATCAGTAAAGGCCGGCACGGACGGACCTATGTCGACGTACTGAAGAAGGGCCAGAAAACAAAGTTATTCGACGAGGCCTTTAACAGTCGGAATTTAATGTCTTTTTGAATTAACGATAGAAATACACCAGAGAACCATGTTTAACATAACATATAAAAGTTATATTTTTAACGTTGCATCGTTTTTAAACATATACATATAAAAGTAAATACTAAATATTTTAATAACTTTTATCGCATCTATGTCGACGTACTGAAGAAGGGCCAGAAAACAAAGTTATTCAGAATCTGTCTTATCATATATTTAATCGTTTCTTAAACATATACATAAGTAAATACTAAATATTTTAATAACTTAACATCGTTATCGTTGATAAAATCTGTCTTATCATAGTATTTAATCTACTTTATTTACATAAAATATTATAGGAATGATATAATAACACGGTAGTGTACATTTGTCGTGTGTTCGTTAAATTGTTTTTTTAGGGTTCCGTTGCGAAATCATGACTAGATAGATAGGTAAGTACTCTTTATTATATACTATTTTCCGTGGCTTTGCCCGCTTGTATTCAGTACACAAAGTATTTTATAAGCAGATAGACAGATACTCTTTATTGTTTCCTCCAAAATATTACAATTGTAAACTTATTATGAAAACAATGGGCGACCTTATCGCTAAAAGCGATCTCTTCCAGGTAACCTTTAAATGGAGAGGAGTAATTATAAAAAGTTTGATTGGAGGCACGATGAAAATTTTATTATTTCTAAATATGGAGATGTAATACATGTAACAATGTAAATATATATTCCTAGTCATTATATATATATATACACAACATATACATACATACATATATGCATATAAACACAAATACATAAAAATATATAAATACTGCTTACATGTATATGGCTGTGCTTTAGTTTGAAAGGTAATGAATATGGCAGTGAATTTACAGGGTACAGAGGAATAACACCTAAGTTCTCAGGAATGTCAACGCATGGGGGTATCATGGGCGAAACAGTATACTCTGTTATGTCCACGGTACTGCTCATGTCTATAGGTGACGGTTACCGCTTTCCATCAGGTGGGCCGTCAGATCGTTTGCCATTCTAAGTTGTATAAAAAAAAATCAAAACCGTTCAATAGTTTTTGCGTGATAGAGTAATAAACATCCATCATCAGATTACATATAAATCATATAAGTGCGTGTTGTAGTTAGAAAGTAATATGCCAAATAAGATATTTGCTAAATGCAAATTTAGCGTTGCACGTACTAGGTTAATATGTCGCCTCGCCATTTCTGTTGTATTTTTATTTGTTATACTAGCCGTTTCCCGCGGCGTTTTAACATACAAATGTTCATATCATAATTTTTAATAAATCTATCTTTTAAATTTTTTTTTGCACTGATTTTTCGCAACCTACCTAGAGAGACTTGTACAAAGTCTTCCTCTGGTAATCAGTCGCGGGTAAAGCTAGTTAAAATGGAGTGTAACATCGATCAAAACTGTAATTTCGCGACGGATTCAGGCGTAAATTCGTGACATTTTTATTACATTCTGAGAGCAGTACAAAGTCTATTGATGATATGGAGTCAGTGATAAGAATCGATAGAAAACATTTTATATAATCTTTATATATGTAGCAGATGTATGGATTATATTTTTAATACGATGTTTATAGCTTTCAGCGTATATTAAGAACTGCCTGTATCTCAAGGTTTTTTTTTTACAACACAGGGGGCAAACGAGCATGCGGCTCACCTGATGGTAAGTGACTACCGCCGCCCATGATCACCCACAACACCAACGGCATTGGTGTGCTGCCGGCTTTTAAAAAGGAATATGCTCTTTTCTTGAAGGTTATGTTGTCGTATCGGTTCGGAAATACTGCTGCTGGATGTTGATTCCAAAGAGTGGTTGTGCGTGGAAGAAAGTGCCTTGAAAACGCACGGTGGAAGACCGCCACTTATCTAGATGGTTGGGATGGTACTTTAGTTTGTGGTGGGTTGTACTGTGGGGATAATCAGCAGCAGGATTCTCTAGTATATATCCATTATATTAAGTATCCTGTGTTTAAAATTAGGATGTTTTATTCGTTTACTAAAAATCGTTCAAATACCTAAAGTAATATAAATGTGAAAGCGTAACAAATATCCGTCTATCTTTACAAATTTTACCCATGTATGATATATATACAAATATATATATATATATATATATATATATATATATATATATATATATATATATATATAACATCAGTTTTTACATATAATAAAACTGTACAGATTGAATATTTGTACACAGAAAAAAAACTAATAACCGAGTCAGGAGATATTAGAACGTTTAGTTTTTTTCAATTTTTTGTTTCTCTGTTTGTTTGTCTGTTTGTGCGGGCTAATCTCCGTAACTATTGGATCGATTTAAAGGAAATTTTGTATGGTGATACCTCACATCCCCGGGCAACATTTTAGATATTTTTAATTACGGAAAATTTGGGGAAAGGGATTGTTAGCAATGGAGTTCGACATTGCTAGCAATATGCCCTATCAGGTCGACCTCCACGTGGTTCCCCCTGGAAAACATCGTGAACAATTCTTGTTGAATTCGTCACGATAGGCTAACTAACCTGCTTCATCCTCATCTATCATCCCTCACTGGTGCCGCGCCGGTGTATACCAATAGCGTGGGTGGGCTTACCATTCCATTATCACCCATTAAACAAAAATTATGGAAAATTAAAGAGTTCCCGTGGGATAGTTAAAAAATCATAGTAACTTATATAACTTAATACACAACCTACTTAAGTAAAGTCATTTTGATCCAAGTCAAAGGGTAAGAACGACACGTCATTTGTTAATTTTGGTCCATTATTCCCAGACGTAATAAACAGGTAAGACCATACATCGATACGTACTAGACAGGAATAACAAATACCACGCGGACAAAGTCGCGGGCATCAGCTAGTATGTTAATAATATCTGTGATGCTATACAAAGCGCCTGTTAATTAAATGTAGGCATTAAAGTAAATCGACGAAATAAAGTATTTATACATCTAAAAGGGAATCTAAAATACTAAAATTTATTTTAGTAATAGAAAGATCAAAGTATCAGGCATCAACTGTCCACTGCTGGGCATAGCCTCCCCCATAAGGGGGGCTTTGCTAGTAACTGCCACGATTGGAAGGGGGATTGACCCAGAAAAAAATATCTCATCGTTAATCCATTGTAATACAAGATTTTAATGTTTTTTTTTTTATGCAACTTAGAATGACAAACAAGCTGACGGCCCACCTGATGGAAAGTGGTAACTGTCGCCTATAGACATGAGCAGTACCATGGACATAACAGAGTATACTGTTTCGTCCATGATACCACCCATGCGTTGTCATTCCTGAGGACTCAGGTGTTATTCCTCTGTACCCTGTAAATTCACTGCCATATCGCACCCTTCAAACCGAAACACAGCCATGCAAACACAACTGCTTCACGGTAGAAACACGAGTGGGGCAGAGGTGCTCAAGCAAATGACTTTTGTACCAAGTCTCCCTCTGGTTATTGTATGTTATTTTTGTTTCAACCTTCTACCAAAAACTTCTTCTGTATTACTCAGATAAAAGAAGTTTTTGACAGAAGATTGGTACGTAATGTTATTTTTTGCGTCTGTAGTCATTAAAAAAATTAATTATTTGTTTTAATTTATACAATAAATTTATATATAATTATAACAGCTACATATGTAACGGGCTTTTGTCATTCGGGATCCCGGAATTGTATTTTCTAGTCGGCAGATAGTTGTTCACGAAAACCATTAGTATATTTGAAATAATGTACGTATTTAGGTATATATGTATGTATGTATGATGGGTTATAATACACTTGAAGTGAGACAGAAATTAAATTTAATTGATTATGTGTTAAAATTAATACGGCAAAAAAATTATTCTTTGTACAAAAGTCGTTTGCACCTCTGTCCCATTCGTGTCTCAACCGTGAAGCAGTTGTGTTTGCATGGCTGTGTTTCGGTTTGAAGGGTGGGATATGGTAG